TAATCAAGTACTTCACCAAGAGCTATTTTGGGGGGAGGGGGGAGGGGCAGTCTTGAGACTTGAACTCAGGGCACTGTCCTTGAGATCTTTTTGCTCAAGGCTAACAATCTGCCACTTGAGCCACAGTGCCACTTCTAGCTTTTTACTGTGTATGTAGCACCATGGAATCAAACCCAGGATCTCATGCATGCTAGGCAAGCACTCTACCACTAAGCCATATTCCCAGCCCCCATGAGCTAATTTTATCTTTTGTCTATCTTTTGATTTTCTGTTTCTTTTGTTGTTTTGTGTATGTATATATTTTTTTCTTTTTAGTACTGTGGTTTGACCTCAGAGCCTTACATTTGCTAGACAAGTATTCTACCATATGTGCCACACCTCCAGCCCATTTGTTTTACTTTTTAGATATGAGTTTACATTTAGGCCAGGCTGGCCTCAGACCAGGTCTTCTTACCTACACCTGTAAAGCTAGAATTACAGACTACTATGCCTAGCTTGTTGAGATGAGGTCTTCAACTTTTGGAGTGACTAGACTTTCTAGAACCATGATTTTCCCTGCTCTGACTCCTGAATATTACAGAAATGTACCCACATTCAGCACTGTGCTCATTTCTATGAATAGTCGTTTTTTATAAACATGAAGTTATTACTTGGACATTTGATTTTATTACCTTTGAAATTTTGTTCACTCATTAATATTTAAAATTAATATTTAATAATGTTCCATTGTATGACAATGTCATAATTTACTTAGTTGAATCCTAGTTTGGAAGCATTTGTACAGTTCTGGTTTATCCAGTTGTAAGTATCTGTCTGATGAATTGGATAAAAATCTTTACAAATTAAATTGTTTTAAGGCAAATCCTAGGAAATGGAAATATTGAGTTTAAACATAAGGCCTTTTCCTAAACTCTTGCCAAAAACCTGATTAATCTGGAAGAACTGATGAGGAAGGATGGATAACACTTTTATGATTAAAAGATTATTGTAGCCTGGCACAAGTAGCTCACGCCTGTAATCCTAGCTACTCAGGAGGCTGAGATCTGAGGACTGTGATTCAAAACCAGCCCTAGCAGGAAAGTCCATGACACCCGTATCTCCAATAAACTACTCAGAAAAAGTCAGAAGTGGTTCTATGGCTCAAGTGATAGAGCACTAAGCCTTGAGAAAAGAAGCTCAGAGACTGCTCCCAGGCCCAGAGTTCAAGGACCAGAAAAAAACATATTGTACACTAAGCAAAAACACTTACATTTATCGTAAGTTTTATATATGCAAAAATACTATCTACTCATAATACCATCATTCAGAGAATCAACCTTTCAATATTTTGTCCAGTTTAAAAAACAAAAGGATCATTTGTACATCTTACATAATTTATTTTCTTTCAGTTAATAATATTGGTTGAATACAACTTCTTTAACCAATTACTGTGATGGTTAATTTTATGTATCAGGTTGGTCAGGCTATCGTGTAAAGGTTTTTCTTAAATAGGATTGACATTTACAATAAACTGAAAGCAGATTATTTTCAGTGATATCAATGAGCCTCATCCAATCAGTTCAAGGATTTAAGAGCAAAAAGAGTTTCCCAGTGACTACGGAATTCTGTCTCTAGGCTACAACACATAAGGCCTGCCTCGTTTCCATCTTTCAACTTTTTTATTTTTATTCTTTGCCAGTCCTGGGGCTTGAATTCAGGGCCTAAGTTCTGTTCCTGATCCTCTCTGTGCTCAAGGCTAGTGCTCTAACCACCTGAGCCACAGCGCCAATTCTGGCCTTTTCTGGTTATGTGGTACTGAGAAATTGAACCCAGGGATTCAAGCATGCTAGGCAAGCACTCTACCACTAAGCCACATTCCCAGCCCCAAGAATGCAACTCTTGCCTGATTTCCTGACTTGCTAGCTCCCACGATTGTGTGGATCACTTTTTTCAAGTGTCTTGCTTCCTTTCTCATTGTAGATGTCTATTTCTTGTTGATTTATTTTGAAAACCCTGAGTATTCAGATAGTACAGGAAAATATGGTGCTGTTGCTAGAAATACCTAAAAATGTTGAAGGAGTTTGGAATTGAGTATAGAGAAGAGGCTGAATTTTGAAGGGATAGGATTGTTGCCTGTATCAATTATTAAGTAGAAATATATAATTCAATATGATTGGAGTGCTTCAGATGGAAATGAGGCATCTGTTCTTATTAGAAAGGGTTTTTGTGTTTTTTTTGAACTGTAAAATAGTAGACAACATGCCTGAAATTGCAGGGTTTTTTCTCCCCCCAGTCCTGGGCTTGATGAAGTCAGGGCTGTCCCTCAGCTTTTTACTCAAGGCTAGAACTCTACCAGTTGAGCCACAGAGCCACTTCTGGCCTTTTGTGTTTATGTAGTACTGAGGATTCCAACTTAGGCCTTCATGCATACTAGGTAAGCACTCTACCACTAAGCCACATTGCCAACCTGAATTTGTCTTTTTAAGTACAGTTCTACACACACACACACACACACACATGCACACAATTTTTTTTTTTTAAGCAGCAACAAATATTACAGGGTGAACTGTGTTCCACTGAGTAGAAAGTATAAATTGTAAGTGATCAACTTGGATCTTTTTTCGGGAGGGTGGGTTCTGGGGCTTGAAATCAGAGCCTAGGGACTTGAGTTGCGCTTTTGTACTCAAAACTACTGCACTACCACTTGAGCCACAGTTCCCCTTCCAACTTTTTGGTGGCTAAATGGAGGTAAGAATTTCATGACCTTTCCTGCCTGAGCTGGCTTTGAACCGCAATTCTCAGATCCCAGCCTCCTGAGTAGCTAGGATAATAGGCGTGAGCCACCTGTACCCTGCTAAATTGAATATTTTGAATATTTGAATATTTTACTAAAGAAATTTCTATTCACAAATTTAAATATGAGAAATATATACACAAAAGTTGTTAAGCAAAAAGAACTTGAAAATTTGGGTGCTTCTGAGCATATTCATATTGTAAAAAGAAGGAAGAATACTGGGGAGAAAACACTAAAGATATGTATCACTGGAAAGCCAATTATAACAGGCAATCAACTATCTCTAGAACTTGGGCAGTTTAGAATGAAGGGGTAAGAAGTGATAAAATGAAGGAACACCATAGGGCTTCTGAGATTCTACAGGCAGGCTCTATAGCTGTAAATACGTCATCCTTCAAGTCTTGAGCACAAAGAAGCTCAGGGACAGCGCCTAGGCCCTGAGTTCAAGCCCCACCACCACTACCACCAACAACAAAAGGATCTGAAGAAGATGCTCTCATTGGGTTCTTATACCATCACCCCAGTTCCATGCCACATGACCGGTAGGCCCAGCAAGCTCTGTGGACAGAACTTTGAGACAATGATGACTATTCCCAAGCCTTAAAAATCCAGCCCAATTTGCCCTGCTACATTTCAGGCTTGGTTAGGATAACCAAGTATTTTTCCTTCCTGTATCTCGACCCTTATCCGGATACTTCAAGAATGGGAATGCCTATCCTCTTCTGTCTCACCATTGTTAATTTCGAAGTAATTTGTTGTTTCACAGGTCAAGGGTAATAAAGGTTAGACTTGACATGGTTTCTGTGGATGCTGAGACAGAGTGAATCTACTTTGCATGTGAGAAGGGTATCAAGAACTAGAGAGCAGATTGGGTTTTCATGTGTGAACTCTCCATAAAAAAGATATTTGGAGGCTGGGAAGATGGCTCAGTGGTAGAGTGCTTGCCTTGCATGCATGAGGCCCTGGGTTCGATTCCCCAGCACCACATAAGCAAAAAAAAGAAAAAGAAAAAAAGCCAGAAGTGGCGCTATAGCTCAAGTGGTAGAATGCTAGCCTTGAGCTGAAGAGCTGAGGAATAGCGCCCAGGCCCAGAGTTCAGGGCCCACAACCGGACCCAAAAAAAACCAAAACAAAAGATATTTAGATGTCAGTGGCTCACACCTATAATCCTAGCTACTCAGGAGGCTGAGATTTGAAGATCGTGGCTCAAAACCAGTCTGTGAGACTCTCCTTTCCAAAGCTGGCTGTGGAGTTGTGGCTAGGTGCCAGCCTTAAAATGAAAAAGCTAAAGGAGTGTCCAGGCCCAGAACACACACACACACACACAAACACACACACACACACACACACCTCTCAAAGTCCTAACCATTTGTGTCTCCGAATGACACACACACACACACCTCAAAGTCCTAACCACTTGTGCCTCCGAATGTCACACACACACACACTCACACACACACCTCAAAGTCCTAATCACTTGTGCCTCCAAATGTGACCTTAAAAGGCTATCAAGTTAAAGTAAAGACACGAGGGTAGGCTTTAATTCAATGACTGATGTCCTTATAAACCAGAGAAACACATACCAAGCAACAGAAGCAGGTAGAGGGGTATAACCATGTGAAGATGGGAACAAATGCTGGAATGATAATGCTTTAAGCCGATGCCTTGATTCCAGATTTTAGAGACTTTAGAACTGTAAGACAGCAAATTTCTGTTGTTAAAGTAACAAACCTAGTTTGTGTTTTCTTATGACAGCCCCATTGTCCATTGTTGCACATTTAGATTTTTAATTTGAGGCATGTATGTCTGTATGGATAGATACAAAGATATAGATAAATGCTCAAAATCATTTCCACAAGATCTATTCCTAGATTATAAAATTTTCTGGATAAGAGGATGTACTAGATTCCTAGGCTTCTGGCTTGCACTGAGTCATTCATATTCTATGAAAGCTACAATACTGGATGGAAGACCATTTCTTACACTTCGTAGTAGTCAGTAAACTTTGTATTCCCTTTTAATCATTGCTAAGTTCAATTTGGGTAGTCATGCCTAGACAAAAAGAGGAACAAGTTGAGTGGAAATTACAGGGTTAGATACCAAAAAAATTCAGTTTAGTTTCAACATTTTTAGGTTAGTCTGTGTTTGGATTCCCTGAAAGTGACCAATTTAAGCAAGAGAAAATATTTGTGAACACACTATCCAAGAACATAATTGGACAAACCAATAACAGTGGAAATAAATATTAGCTTTATTAACACTCAAAGTGCCATTCATTTATATCCATTCCATAGTCCAGAAGGTTACTTAAGTATGCCTTTGCACCACAATCTTTTCAAAAAATGAACATGTAAGAAAAAGCAATTTTCGTTTTACTACTTATTGCAGGCCTTCATGCATGATAGTCTAAACAAAAGACATGTGCCAACAATATACAAATTTCCATAGAAACAAATCGTTGGTCACTAACAAAATATAAACCTGGTTTCTTTTATATTAGATTTTTTAAAAAGCTATTTACCAAGAAAAAAAAGCAAGTAGATACACAGAAATTATAAAACTCAGGAATTCTATACATCTTTACAAGCACAATTTTGAAGGAACAATACAAACTCAAAATGTGCATGAAATGTGGCACATCTCACATTATATCTGGATTCTGGTTATTTTCCAATCACATGGGTTCCTTTGAACATAATAAGCACAGTGACATTCAACTGCATCAGTGGACTTTATTCCGAATACAAGTAATTTTATGTGGTACTGCATATTAAAAACAAACTTTTAAAAAATACAATAACATTGTCAAATTGGAAAACGAATTTCCAATTCTTTTTCTGCCAGTTACTTAAAACATACACTACAGTGTAAAAATTAAAGTTATAACAATATATATTTGGATATTTCTAACCCAATTTTATAGTCAGTTACAGAGAATCATAATATGTCAATGTATTGTTTATAAATCCAGTCTAGCCTTGCTAAGGGATAAGCAAAAAGATAAATCTTCTGGAGTAGGATAAATGTTTATAGGTCAGGCCTACAGCAACTGGAGATATAACAATTTTTGACATCTCTTCAAACCAATTTAGTTTCTGACATTTTTTCATAGCTCTGAGAATTCAAAGGCCATGTTAGTGGACACAGTATATGTTTGCTACTGCTTATTTTTTCTCTTATTTTTTTTCATAGAAGTGTCAAAGAGAGTTAAATGCTTTTTCTTGCAAGTATGTTCTAATTGAACTTTAAGTAAAATGTGTATTCAATCTGGAAATACAAATACATCTTGAATGGTTAAAAAAAATTAAAAAAATATTTTGATCAGCCAGCTGAAAATATATTCATATAGTAAATCATCTCTCAGAAAACCTTTATATATACGTAATTATCCTAACTAAATAGTACCCTTATAAAACAAGTTCATAAAAATGTAGAAATGAAATGAAGGTAAGAATTTTTTTGGGATATATACATCTACATACAGACATAAAAAGACATCTTCACACAAACACACATCCCCTGATACAGAGATACAAAGAATACTTTCAACTTAGTAATGGATTTTAGAATACAGTTAAAAAAAAAAGAAAGAAAGAAAGTAATGTTGAACTCCTGAGTTCTCTAACAAAGATAGAACCACAGACAGGTAGGTATACTCTGTAAAAGCAAGAGTCAGTTATGGCAGTGCAGTAACTGATGGACATATCTTGAAAATTCAAACTTAAGAGACACAGACAGTAGTTCAATGCACCCATTCATGAGCTCATACACTCAACAATTATTGGTCAGAGTATAAATCAGTGTACAAATAAAACACTTCTAAAAATGTGCAAAAAGTCAACCTTGATAGGAAACAAAATCTTTGTACATAATTACAAACTGCCCATTTAACTGAGATTAAAAACATTTACTGAGAGAAACCAATAGGTTAAATATAGAGAATTTAATGGCTACATTTAAAAAATGTACATTAAGTCAAAGGGTAAATTTACAAATTGATACTCATAATATGCAACAATTAAGTTTATTTTAAATTTATCCATTTACTTTTATTTACAGTGAATAAAAAGAACCATGTGAAATGTAAGAGATGTCACACATCAAAAGTATTTTTGGTAGTAACTCTTATATAATATTTCAGAATGCAGGGTAGCAAATTTTAAAACGAACAGTGATAGAAAAAAATGTAAACCTTTTACTTAAAATTGTATTAAAACAATTTATTGTGTTTAAATAAGTCCTCTTATCCCTAGATACTGTACTTTTTTAATTGAAAAGGGTATACTGCAAGGGTTTGGCCCACCTTCTTCTGACCCTAGCCATCCCAGCTCAAATGTTTCCACTAAGTCCTTTTCTCCTTATTCTAGGTAGAAGTCTTTGGAAAAATGAGAACATATAAATCCCTTTTAGAGTCTAAGTATCTAGAAGAGTTTAAGATGTAACTACTCATCTCTTCCCTCCATGTAATGCTAATGCTAAAATTATCACTAGTTACATTTGGTTTTAAAAACAAAGTTCTAAAAAAATATAAATAAGTCAACACAAAAGTGCTTTACAGGATAATCATAAACTTTCTCAACTGGCATTAGGAGGTTCAGAAATTCTTAACTAAAGACAAATTCTACGCATACATTAAAGAGCAGAAACTTCCCTATGCTCTGAATATCTATGGCACAAAGCAGACATCAGTCCATAACTTTTTTTCACAGAACTGCTGAAATGCCCCTCAAGTCAAACAAACACAAGCTCATAAATGTTAAGACACTAGGAAGAAAACACGCCACCAATCTGAGGCATCAGACAATACATATCTACATGCATCTATGGTGAAGTGACGCTAACAAGATTGGCACGCGTACACGCTAAAGTTTGTAGTCTATAAAGCTCCTAAATTGTTGGAGTAAATTCTGCATGTCTAAATGCAAACACTGAGCACCTGTCCTCTCCTTGAAGGAAAGACTGGGAGACAAATTCTACTAGTACCTGTTTTGTCATTTGTTATCTATTAGCTCACAAGTGGGCAGATGTAACAGGGAACTCATTTTGGCTATGTGTGCAGGGAATATAAAAGCTTTGGTTTAAAGTGATTCTGATAATACAGATTATGATGCAATTAAGACGTCATCAGGCAGAGGGACTGACTGAAAGGAGTCAGTGGTTTAATTCTTTTGATGTTATTAACAAAAATACCATATAACTTGACAATTAAAATGTACAAAAAACATGAAGAATTATATATGTGACTGTATAGAGATTACAGACAATTTATTTATCTTCCTTATTACAAGTATGATTCTTCCCTCACTTTCCTGAAGTCCAACCCTGATCACCCTTACTATCTCTGAGAAAAGACATTTCTGGGCTCTCAAGAGCTCCGTTACCATCTACAGCTCTGAAAGGTGAGAAGAGAAAGATACCTAGCCTCATACTTCCCAAACCTATTAGGGCATCTAGTCCAGACCATGGCAGAAGTCAAAGCAATGCCAAAGACAGCTATGAAGAAAGAGGGCTCCACAGCACACCTTTGCTAGCCAACCAAAGAAGACATATAAGATAATTTCTTTCCGAATACTTAGTAAGCTAAGAAAACTTGTCCAGATATCTGACAGAAATACTATTCCAAAAAGTTTATAAAGAACTACCTAAGATCAGTTACTTTCTATTTAGTACATGAAAGCTCATTATTCTACACATAAACACACAAATTGAGCTTTAGTCTATTTTTAACAACCAAGAACTTGGCAATTTATAATAAATACCTTTATTAGATAATCATTTGTACTAGCTAATTATGGAAAACCGACTTAAGAATGATTACTTTCATCCTATTGTCAGTAGGTCATACATTTTTGAGCTGTTCTTCCAAGAACAGAGACTGATCTAATTGAACATCCAAACTTTTCTTCCTTTTGTTCTTACCCACACCTACCCCAAATACCAACACACACACACACACACACACACACACACACACACACTCACTCACTTTATAGAAGAGTAAGCTACAGCATTAGCCAAAATGTTAAGGATTAAAATTTTAATAATTCTAAGGATTTGAATTAGCTATCTCCGGATTTCCTGCTTACAGCCCTACATCATTGCCTCATCAGCTGTAAATAATTTACATGACCAATTTAGGGCAAAAATCACCACTTCAGCTGGGCTATTGAAATCACAACTGAACCACAATATTACAAAGACCTTGGACAATGCCAATAAAAAATCAAGTCATCAATCCAGAAAATAACTTATCTCTTTAGAATGAGAATACCTCTTTCTATGCTTACTTTAGGGATTTATGTCTAGTAGAAACTACAGACTATCACAGACAACTGCTAATGTTTCCCTCCTAACACTTAAAAAAAAAAGGAGGTAGAAAAGGGTAGGAGGAAGTAAGCAGGCATTAAGGACCAATACATAGTCTAAGGCCAAATGACCTCTTGAAGTCTACTGATTTTGGAAAAATCTTCATTTTGTTGGGTAACTTGATTTAGTAATATAAAATAAAATTAAGGCATACAGAGAAAAAGGCACTACTAAAAATTAACAAACTGCTTTCCATTAACATTTAACCAATCTTAAAATTCAAGTGAATATGAACATTACAGTTTAACAAATGCCAAGCTTAATGATAAAAAACAATATGGTCTGTAGAGTTCAGTTTCAATCAAATATATTTCTATACTTTAAACCAAAAGAAAACATTTTTCTTCAAAAGAAAAAAAGTAACACTGTGTTATGGATAGATGCTTCCTATCTCTGGGACTTTTTGAGCAGAGGCTGCATTTTATGGTAAGATAGGATCCTGAGAGACAGGTCATCTGATCTGTAGTGGGGGGGGGGTCCCCTCCAACCTGGGGATACTTCTAATCTCTGTTATTAATGACTTTTCAGTGTATAACAGCCAATGATTACTCCAAACTGCTTTCTTACTTCAAAAAAATCTCTAATTCTTTTAAATATCAGTGCTGAACTCTGAGGGTATACTTTAAAATAACTCCATTTGCCCATGTTCCTCCTCCTAAACTGTGACCTCTTAAAGATGTTAATATACCATCTAATGTTGCAAGCTGCAATTACTGTATAAGGAAATGAAAATGATTCACACTTTTAAAAAAGATGAATAAATTTATATAGTTGATTGGCACCAGAGGATTTTAAATTGAGCTACTGGTTCCTAAAACTCAAATGAAATTGTTGGCACAAAACCCTGCCATGGCCAAAGAGTCTGCATCTGGCTTGGGTATCCTGAAGAACTATTCAGATTTGATTTGATTTTATGTTCTTAGTGATTTTACAAATTTTATAATATGCAAAGTATATTATAAACATCTAATAACTCCATCTCTGGAATACCTCAGACCTGCCCTGTGTCAGAATATAGTAGCAGAATGCTACTCTCAAGAAGCACTTTCACCTTTTTTTATGTGGTCTGTATTAGTAATAATAAGTCTCAAATAAAAACCAATTCAATTTATCTGATATCCAAGTTTCAGTTTCTCTATTATATTTCAGCATTTGCATTAATAGTCAATCTCAAACACATTATGTAAGGGTGCCTTTTAAAACTTCCTAAGGCAATAGTTTTAGTCATTTTTTAAGCTAGAGATGTTTGTAAATAAGCAAAAAATGCTGAAAAACTTCAAGTCAGTTCACTCTGAAAATTTCAAAGTCAGTGTACCTTTTTTCCCCCTGGTAGTCTCAGTGTACCTTTAAATATATATATATATTTTTTTTAGGGCTGAGACCAGGATTTGAATTCTGTACTTGATGTTTTCATTCACTGGGTAGCACTCTACCAACTGAGCCACACCTCTAACCTCAAACCTTTAAATATATTTTAAGGAATTACTAACTCATCAAAATTTCCATCTGTCATTGTAATATTTTTAGTCATTTCATTCAACTCACTTTTTTTGCAATGAGACAGATCTTATATTTGGTCCAATCCTAAGTCATGTGCCTGAATCGCTCAAGGCCTAAGTAGGAAGGTATTTCCTGAAAAGCACATAGAAGACTGCTAGTGAATCTTCTCCAGCACCAAAACATCTGCTACTGTCAAAGCAGAATGCATTTGAAAGGCACAAAGTCAGCAGTCTGGCCATTTTCCAGCCTTTGCAAAGAAACATTACAGTATAGAAGAATCAGTTTTACATTTAAAAAAAAAACAAAATACATTTAAAGTTACTTTCAAAGTTCAAATTTAGTTTTGTCGATACATACCATTATTAGAAAGAAGAAAACAATGGAGTGTAATATTTAATTTCTTCTGATAACAGTTTTTCTAAAGTCTCTTTTTAAAATGTACTTTTGGTCTTTTACTCTCCCTACCACAATTTCAAGTTTTTCTGTTCCAGGAGTTTTATATATATATATATATATACATATATATATATATATATATGTACTTTCATTGTAGTTTTTGGTACCTTTATAAGTTGTCTGAAATAAATTCACATCATATTCTATATAATATGCCTGTAAACTATTAGTCTATTTTAAGTCTTTACATAAAGAACATTATTTTCCCATAGCTAACAATTTTCTTATAAAGCAAAGGTATTTTGTAACAGTGTTAGTTTTTTTTCAGGTGCCATCATTTTCTATAGCATTTAGAAAAAGGAGACTGAAAAAAAGCCAACAATTCTGCTCTGAGTTTCCCAGATTTCTCTTTGAAGAACATTTGTCTCAGATTCTGTACTGCTGTTTATCCTGACCAAAAATGAGCCAAAGGGAATCAAAACCACATAATACAAAGAAATGAAGGAAAAATCCACTGGTCCAGATACCATGATCTTCCTCAAGTACAAAAGATGTCATCATTAATCAAAGATGAGAAAACTGTAATAAATCGACACGTGTGGAGACCATATTTCTAGCTAAGATTAGGCAGCTAGCTTATTTACCAAGGTTAGAGGCACCTAATTCTTTTTTTTTTTTTTTTTGCAAGCTACTTCCTTTGATTTTTCAGAGTGTAAGTGTTAATTTTGTGCTTTGACTTTCAGACCAGTTAATGGAATTTCAAATATTCTTGCAGGGAAATGACAGTTAGGAAGGAACTTGATGAATTAAACCAAGATCTGCCTAACTTCAAAGAATTGATAAATAAGCATACCTTGTGGCAGAAAGAACACCTCAGTTTTCTTAGGGATCCATGAAAGGCATCATATTGAAATCCTCTGGGAAGATGATTATTTCTAGACCTTTAAAAATGAAGTACTTAGCATTTGCTTTAATATGCTGAAAAATCTTCAAATGGCCAAGTAACTTATCCTCATCTTTTGTAGCAGCACAATTTCATTAGAGATCATGGGATCTTTCCCAGCTGTCTCTTTCCATTTAATATCCTTGTCCTCAGTGCATACTTTATACTGCAAGTACCCAGCAGTGTATTAACCTTCTTGCTGGTAGTAAACAATTTGTTTTGATAGGCGCTTTTTTTTGCCCATAATTATGAATAGACTTTTAAGGAAAGAATATACGCAGATACTGAGCTTTTTTAAAGGCTTGATATTCAAACTCATTTTGTTTCTAGAATGGAAGAGCTGATTTCGGTATAATCTATAGTAAGTAAGGAAGTGAATTCTATTTGCTGAGATCTTTCACCCCTAACTTAAAGTAGTGGTATTTCTTCTTATGAACCCTCATTTTATTGTACATATTTCTCTCTGATATTTGCATTTCTGCAAATACCTGATTTCAATTTATAACGTGGACTTGCATCTATATCAGGATTTCTCAGTCTAGGCACTTTTGACATTTGGGGCAGAAGAATTTGGGGATGCTATCCTGCGTATAATGGCATCTACTTTAGCAGCATCCTGGCCTCTACCACTAGATGCCAGTAGTATCTTCTCAATTGTGACACACAAAAAATGGCTCCAGGTATTGCCAAATAACAAAGGAAGTAAAATTACCCCAAGCCACTGACACCCTCGGTGCTTTACTGTTTTTCTGACACATTTCAGTATTCTCTGATCCTGAGAACAAAGGTTTTATCTCAAGACACTGGTTTTAACATAAGGATACTTAAGGCTGAACTTTTAGTTTCTAAAGACCATTACCTACAGGAAATCAGTGACTGGAAATAAGAAGACCATATACATGATTTTTATTATTTCTCAATTCCTTAATTTTGGGACTTCCCCTCAAGAACATAGTTTAACATATACTAAATACTTGGTTCTGTCATTTATCATTTCTATTTACTTGGCAAATGTGGTAACTGTTCATATATTTAATGAAAACAATCTTTTAGTTGGTTATACTCAATGACTTCCCCTATCTGTTTACAAATAAAGTATTATTGTCTTGGTATTTTTTAGCAGAAAGCTAGCCCTCAAAGTCTAAAGATTCCAGTAACATGGATCTATTATAGTGTATTTGCTTATTATACTGGTTGACAAATTAACATACTTCTTAGAGATTCATATCTTCTATCAAGATTCCTACTGAGCAAAAAGCTTGGTAGACAGAGGTTAGGATCTAAAGAATACAGATGTAAGAAAAAAACCTGTATTCTTTAAGTTGAGTACCTACCCTAACTCAAATTTAGGGTTCAAACCTACAAATGAGGATCTACTTTAAATTATCACTAAAAACTACAAATTGTACATTATTTTCTTATCCTTGTTGACCATTTCTCCTTGTCACCACCAATAGAATAAGTGATGCATGGAAAGACTACCAACTATATACTCCAAATGATTTGTTTATTCTAAAAAGAGTGAATATGTACTAAAGTGCTTTGTCTTTTTGAACCACATCAGTACATTATAAAAATTAAAAGCTTCAAGTTCTTCTAAGGAGAAAAAAGATTAAATATAAAATTTAGATTACTATTATTATTAAACAAATTTAACCAATAATCAAGAGAAATACTTTCCCTCTTGTCTTCCCTCCCCCCCATCTCTCTCTCTTTTTTTTAATGAAAGAAAAGTGCAGTCAGAGAGAAGGTGAACAAACAGGATGGGAACTGGGTACAGGCACAGCAGGCTGGTTGCTAGTGATAATGCACAAACATGTGCCGCAGAAGTTCATCAGCTGATGGTCTCAGTTTGGCCTCTACAAAAATCCTTTTGAGGAAGTCTCGAGTATAGTCTGAGACATGAGGTGGCAACTTTGGGTTTGTTGGCTGAGTGGCAATCTTAAAGATGGCAGCCATTGCTTCAAATTCAGCCCAAGGTGGCTTTTCAGTTAGCATTTCTACCACAGTACATGCTACACTCCTAAAAAAGAAACAAATAATACATTACATAAGCGGTAACAATGAGAAAAGAAAGCTGGTTGACCAGAAAAATGAGAAATAAGAATAAAGTCCACATACATTTATATGACTTGATTTAAAGTTTAAACTTTTGGAGCTAGGAATGTGGTTTAGTAGTACAGTGCTTGCCTAACATGCATGTAGCCCTGGGTTTGATTCCTCAGTACTACATAAACAGAAAGCCAGAAATAGTACTGTGGTTCAAATGATAGAGTGCTAGTCTTGAGCAAAAGAAGCTCAGGGACAGTGCCCAGGCCCTTAGTTCAAACCCCAGGACTGGGACCCCCCCCCAAAAAAAATTAAAGCTTTTTTAAGTGGTTACCAGTTTTTTAAGGTTGTAATTGCAGAAACTGTAATTGAAATATGTATTATCAGTAGCTGGTCATGGTGGCATGCAAATAGAATCTCAGTCCTAAGAAGGCTGAAGAAGGAGGTTCTTGAGATTGAGGCTAAACAGTGTGATCCAAGTCAGCTAGAAAAGACAGACTAGGTCTACAAACTAAAATTTAAATTTAAAAAAATCGACAAAGGGCTGGAGGTATATACCTCAGTGGTATACCTAGCATGGCTCTTACCTAGCATGTGTTAGATAACACAGGGTTCCATTCCTAGTGTCCCTCCCAAATTCAGTAAAACATACAATTATCATCACAACAAAAATAGACAAAGAAATTACTCATACTTTTAATACAATTTTCTAACCTCATAAAAAATACAGTATTAGAAACTATTTGCCTTCAGGTACCTAAAATACCTATTAAAATTTCCCCTGGGTAGGAAGTAGGAAACAGTCATTTTATAACCTATCTTAGAACTATTAAGCAATTAATCATTAAATAAATTTAAGATACTTGACAGTGAAGATTACTTTTAAGTTTTTAGGATAAGACAGTTTTCTTATGCATAAGACAAAATTCTTCTTGAAAAAGAGAAAATAGATTCAAAGACAAAGTATTTCATTAATTATAAGCTCCAACAAGCCATAATAAAAATGGTTGTTAAATTTGAGGAGATGGGTGGACTTAGGAGAGATGGGGAGAATGAGGGAAAGGATGATAATGATGAAGATGTATTATATTCATAAACCAACATGCAAAATTGAAAGCCCTTTGTAAAACTACTAAAAGATAATAAAAAGAATATAATAAGAATAAAGAACAACGTGAAAAGAAAATGCTGATATTTACAATTTGTACTTTTTACTTCCAAAGTATAAAAGATAATTTAAAATCTGGCTTGGTAATTTCAAACATACTAGGAAAGCAGATAAATTTTCAGACAAACTCATCCAAACCTACCAGATATCAGCTTTTCTGCCATAGCCTTCTCCACTGATGACTTCAGGGCTCATCCAGTATGGAGTGCCTGTGACAGACTTCATTCCTGTGCCTGAGAGACAGATGGTCTGAAGTCGTTTGCTGGCCCCAAAATCTCCTAGTTTGACATTGCCTGTTGAATCTCGCAGGATATTTGCGCCTAAAAATAAGAAATAGCCCCATTTCATTAATGTCACTGCTATTCTGAAATATATAAAAGAGTATAAAAGAACCATGGCAGAGGATTGCTTAGCATCTTTGTCCCCCAAGTTAGGTTGCTTTTCCTCCTCCAGCAAGCCCTGGCAGGCAGCAAATTACATAGTGGGTGATCCTTACAGACTTGCTATGTGAACACTGTGTTCAGCTGGAAGCTGAACACCTAAAGGTTAAGGTTTGCTTAGTGAGAAGGAGTGGGAGTGGGAGAAGAGGTAGGGGTGGCACAGACAAAGATGAAAGAACTCAGTGAAGCCCCAAGAAAACCTCAGCAGGCTCATGGCCCCTGTGTTTCTTGATCATAAAGTAAGAAGCACACAGCTGAAGATAATTTCCCTCAGAAGCCAGCTTCTCCTCAGGAACTGAGCAGGACCTTCAGAATCAAAACTTACAGTATTTCTCCCTGATGGGAATCTGCTTTGTTCTTAAAATTTAATGTTGCTGCTATAGCTTGGCCCACTGATTACTCACCACCCCACCTTCCCAAAATTCTCCAGCCCATAATCTTAAAGTGGAAATCCACTTTCCCACCCCCTAGGTGGGAAGCAGGCCACACTTGGCAGAGCAGGGGACTTGCTCAAACAATAGGCTCCTGGGACCAGGCCTGTATCATAAACTCTTGAAACTCTTTGAACCCTCCAGCTACTTAACCATGACCTCCACCCATGACACTACTTAAAGTTCCTCCACCCCTGTCCCCATTATGCTTCCTGTCCTCTGACTCTCCTCAGATCACTCTGGTGTCCCTTTTCAACCTTCATTAAAGTTGATCTGGTCTGTTGAGGCTGGTATCTTTGTCTGCCTTCATTCTTCTCGCCTTTTGAATCCATCCTTTCCCCTAATACTCCTGCTATAGAACCTACACCTTATCGTGTGTATGTGTGTGCGTGTGTGTGCGCGCGCGCGCGCGTGCACATGTGCACCAGTCCTGGGGCTTGAACTCAGAGCCTGGCACTGTCCCTGAGCTTCCTTTGCTCAAGGATAGCATTCTACCACTTGAGCCACACCACTTGAATGGTACTGAGGAGTAGAACCCAGGGCTCTTCATGCAGGCCAAGCAAGCACTCTACCACCTAAGCCACATTCCCAGTCCCTAAATTTTTCTTAACATTCTGTTTTGCCTATATTTATCCCCTATGTTTTTGCATAGTTTTACCCCTCAATTTCAATTTTAAATGCTTTTCCTTTCATAAACTTTTAGACAGTTTTATACTTATAAAATTATTGTGAAGCTATGACAGAGTTCCTACCCACACACTCACGTATCCCCTATTATCATCTAGTATCATCAGTACCATCATAGGTAAGACACATTCTTAAGAATAAACTAATATTGATACCCTATTAATAACCAAAATCCACATCTTTTGTTCAGAGTTACTAAGTTTTCCCTAAGTTACAGGATCCCATACTACATTTAGTTATTATGTTTCCTTAAGTTTCTCTTAGGTGTGACTGTTTCCCAGGCTTTTCTTCTTTTGGATGACCTCGCCATTTGGGGGAGTACTGATAAAAGGTCTCACCATATACCCAGGTGGGCCTCAACTTGTGATATCTTGCCTCAGTCTATCGAGAGCTTATATTGTAAGCATGCACCACCATGTTCCCTCTTCACATTTTCACAGTACTGAGGATTGAATCCAGGGCCTTTCACATACGATGCAAGCACATTACAACTCTAGCTATGATCCTACTATTGACCCTTTCTTTAGTGTGTATGTTTTTAATCATCTATTTAGGAGGATGAGGAGTGGAGAAAATCTATATTATATTGGACAGAATGCAGACTCTCCATCACTATCATAAGCTTCTGGTCAGTTTCTGGTTAGCTTTATCACTGATGGTTCTCCAAAGCCTCTCTCTAGTCTAGGATTATTCTCTGCATATTTTAAGCCTAATGAGCCCCAGTACCAGTAATCTTCTCTACAACATTGCTACTTGACTGCTTAAATTACCCTGGGCCAGGCACAATGGTTCATGCCTGCAATCTCAGGAGGCAGAAATTGAGAGAATTATGATTCAAGCAAGCCAGGCAAAAAACTAGTGAGACTTCATCTTAAAAAAAAAAAAAAAAAAAAGAGCTGACTATGGTGCTATACATCTGTCATCCCAGCTATGCAAGAAGCACAGAAGGAAGATCATGATCTAGGCTGACCTGCAAAAACAAACAAGAGAGACCCTATCTTAAAAAAATTAGAAGCAAAAAGAGCTAAGAGGAAGGCTTATGTGGCAAAGTGCCTGTGTAGCAAGCCTAAAGCTCTAAGTTCAAGCCCAAAGGAAAGAAAGATAAATGGAAAGAAATATAAATTAAATGAATAAACTCCGTCATAAAATAAAAGCAACCATCTCTGAAATATTTAACCTGCCCCATTAAAGCCTCATGTCTCTTGACTCTCCTTAGATCATTCTGGTGTCCCTCTTTGACCTTCATTAAAGTTGATCTGGTCTGTTAAGGTTGTCTGCCTTCATTCTTCTTGCCTTTTGAATCTGTCCTTGTTCCTTTTTTTGAGATGTGGTATCTAGGTTTAACCTTAATCTCTTGGGCTCAAGCTAGCCTCCTGACCTTCCCACCTCAGTCTCCAGAACAGCTGGGACTACAATGATCTACAAGACAGTTCTTTTTTTTTGTTTTTTGGGGTTTTTTTGGGTCCAGTCGTGGGGCCTGAACTCTGGGCCTGGGCGCTGTCCCTCAGCTCTTTAGCTCAAGGCTAGCGCTCTACCACTTGAGCCCCAGCGTCACTTCCAGGTTTTTGCTATTTGCTTATGTGGTGCTGAGGAATCGAACCCACAGCCTCATGCATGCAAGGCAACCGCTCTACCACTGAGCCACCTTCCCAGCCCTACAAGACAGGTTTTACTGGGTTTTTACTTCATACATTTACTCACGTAACTTGTCCCTGAAAAATAGCTGAAGTTTATTAAATTAAAAAGTAACGTCAGAGCCAGACACCCGGTGGCTCACACTTGTAATCCTAGCTACTCAGGAGGCTGAGATCTGAGGACCTTTCAAAGCTAGCCCAGTCAGCAAAGTCCATGAGACTCTTATCTCCAATAAACCACTCAGAAACTCAGAAGTGGTGCTGTGGCTCAAGTGGTAGAGTGCTAGCCTTGAGCTGAAGAGCTGAGGGACAGTGCCCAGGTCCAGAGTTCAAGCCCTATGACCAACACACACACACACACACACAAACACGTAACTTTAACCACATCAGAATACACAAAATTTAAGTCTGAAGTTTTCTCTCTCTCTCTCTTTTTTTTTGTCGGCCGTGGAGCTTGAATTCTGGGCCTGGGCGCTGTCCCTGTACTCTTCAGCTCAAAGCAAGCACTCTACCTCTTGAGCCACAGAACTACTTCCAGTTTTCTAGTGGTTTATTGGAGATAAGAGTATCACAGAGTTTCCTGCCCGAGTTGGCTTTGGGGTTGGCTTTGAACCATGATCCTCAGATCTCAGCCTCCTGAGTAACTAGGATTATAGGCGTGAGCCCCAAGTTTAGGGTTCTTTGCATTCTCTCTCTTTATTCCTTTCCTAGATAACAAAATCCACTCAAAAGTAGCAAGCTTTTGAGTGCTTCTAGGTATCAGTTACTGCATTAAGCATGTTTCATGCATTAGTTCACTTAGACCTTATAACAACCCTCTAACAGGGATACTATTACCATTCTCATTTAAGAATAAGCTAGCTGGGCACAGGTGGCTCACACCTGTAATCCTAGCTACTGAGGTCTGAGGATTATGGTTCAAAGCCAGCCCAGACAAGAAAGTCCGAGAAACTCTTATCTCCAATAAATGATCAAAATAGCCAGAAGTAGAGGTGTGGCTCAAGTAGTAGAGCTATATAGCCTTGAGCAGAAAAGTTTAGCATCAGAGCCCTAAAAGTCCCAGGACCAGAAAATAAGGAATTGAGAGAGTAATTTAGTACAATAGTCGAGCACTTGCCTAGCATGTCCAAGGGTCCTAGGTCCCATCCTCTGAAGGAAGGAAGGAAGGAAGGGAGGGAGGAGGGAGGGAGGGGGGAGGGAGGGGGAGGGAGAGAAAGCAAGCAAGCAAAAAAGGGAGGCAAGAGCAAAAGAAGGATGAGGAAGGGAGTAGTGAGAAAGGGGGAGAGGAAGGAAGGAGAGAGGGGAAGGAGAAGCAAGAAGGGGAAAGAGAAAGGGCAAAGGAGAAAGGAAAAAAACTAAAAAGAGTAAAAAGTACTTGTTTACTCACCTTTGATATCTCTATGGACAATCATATTACTGTGCAAATAATAAACACCCTCTAGAATCTGACGGGTATATTTTCTAGTCACATTCTCAGTAAGAGCGCCATATGCCTTTAATTGGTCCTTAATTGAACCCTAGGATAAAAGAAAACAGTAACAAATGTGATTTAAAACCAAATCTATTAAATTTTTATTTTTAAGAGAGTCCAAGTTTGTAACTACAGTTGGAAAGCAGGAATTTTTCATAAAAGACAATAATATTCCTTTATTTTTCAATCACTGATAACAGTAATACAAATGTATAAAGTTATTCTTCATTTAGATTACTTCTATAGAGAAAATTTCTTCAAGTTTATTAAGTCATAAGCTTCAATATTTTTGGAGCATTTAACACATATTCCAATTTGTTTTACAAAAGAAAAACTTGAAAAGCAACTTATACTATAAACAAGATGTCTGAAATGATAAAGGCAGGGATAAAGAAAGCCACTGAGTAAGGATAGCATCACTCTAAACTATTATTTATGGTGATAAGAAAAGTTCACTGCTGCTTTTGTGACACTAAGAAGGGTTAAGAGCATTACCATCAGGTATTCATCTACAGTAAGTTCAAATTGCACCCCTATACTTTTTACACAGAACTCCATCAGTTACCTTCATAAAGACCTACAACACTTGCTATTAAATTATAAGAATGCCTCTGTCTCTCTGATTCTCTGTCTCTCTCTGTGTTCTGTCTCTATCTGTCTCTCTCTCTTGCATTTACTTGCTTATATTCGTTAAGTAGAGGAGGATTTCATTTTTACATTCTCATACCTGTTTACAACATACTACTAAGCTAACTTTTTTTTAAAAAAGTGCCAGGTGCCAGTGGCTCACACCTGTAATCCTAGCTACTCAGAAGGCTGAGATCTGAAGATTGTGGTTCAAAGCCAGCCTGGGCAGGAATGTCCATGAGACTCTTATCTCCAATTAACCACCAGAAAACTGGAAGGGGCACTAGGGCTCAAGTGGTAGAGCCCTCCTCACCTTGAGCTGAAGAGCTTAGGGACAGCGCCTAGACCAAGAGTTCAAGCCCCACAACCGACAAGAAAGAGAGAGAGAGAGAGAAAGAGAGAGAAGAGAGAGAGAGAGAGAGAGAGAGAGAGAGAGAGAGAAGGAAGGAAGGAAGGAAGGAAAGAAAGAAAGGAAATAAAGGAAAGCAAGCAAGCAAATAAGCAAACAAGCAAGCATTACAGCCCAGGGCACATTTCCAGAATACAGAACACATCTCCAGCATGCTTATAACGTACAGAACACACTGTCATCTTGTTTAGAAAAATTTATACCATGAACCAATTTTCTCTACTTTCATAAGCAGGGTACCCCAAGCACACTCAAATTCATTCTTTCCTTCTTTTCATCCTTCCTTATCCCCTTCCTTCCTTCCTCTTTGTACCCTCCCCTCCTTTCCCTTTCTTTCTTCCTCCCCAACTCTTTGATTTTTTTTCTGAGGCAGTCTTGCTACACAAACCAGACTAGAATTGAATTTGCTATGTAGTTCAAGTGGGCCTTCTCCTGATTATCTCACCTCACCCCCCAAGTGCTGGTGTTATAGGCTTATACCACCAGGCCCAGTACTATCTCAGACTATATCATGAAAATGGACTGTTACAGATAAAAAGAGAATTCAAAGACATAAGAATTAAATGTGATATTCAGTCCTAGACTGAAACCTGATTTGCAAAATCAGCTATAATGATGTGTGTGTATAACTTTTTATTTTTTCTTTTTGCTGGTTCTGGGGCTTGAACTCTGGGCCTATGTGCTGTCCCTGAACCTTTGTGCTCAAAGCTACTTTTGTGCTCTACCACTTGAGCCACAGCTCTACTTCTGGCTTTTTGTGGTTAACTGGAGATAAGACTTTTCTACCCAGGCTGGCTTTAAACCATGATCCTCAGCTCTTAGCCTCTTGAGTAGCTAGGATTATAAATGTATACCAGCACCTGGCTTACAATGGATATTTTTAGAGCATTCAGGAAATCTGATGATGAATTGCTATGATGTCTGTAGTCTATCTTCATATACTTGATGAGTTTAAAAATATAGATACATGAAGAGAATAAAAAATACTACCCAGTTATAATTTAAAACTCTTCCAAAGTATCATTAGCTAGGGTCAAAGTTCTAAAACTGAAGTGACTTTTACAGTGAATGGTTATTTTCAAAAAGATGGATGAACTCACCCCTGGCATATATTCCATAAAGATGGAAAGTGTTTTTTCCTGGGGATCCCTCAGACAACCATAATACTGAACAATTCGCTCATGCAGCAAGTTTTTCAACAACTGAATTTCACACTCAAGTGCATTTACTTCCTGAAAGACAGACAGTACTCACTGTTAAAAGTCTTTACAATACTGTTAGTAAAAACAAAACATTCCTACTTCATAACTGAATTGATTTCATTCTGAAATGATGACTGCCCAAAGAACACCCTACTGTCTAACCAGTACTTTAAAAAAAACACACACTTCTTATAGATATGCTAAAATAACTCTAAATCATAAAGTATTAAAACAGAAATATCCAAAGCACAAAACAGACAAACATCTAATCAAATTATATTACTCTCCCTGCATCTAGTAAAAATGCTTCTTATAAATGTGACAAAGTAGTCTGTGGAATTTTACCTTGCTGGTTTCAGGGCTATCAGGGTCAAACTGAACTTGCTTAACAGCCAATTCTCTTCCTGTATCAACATCATAACAGAGATAGACCCTGCCAAAGGCTCCTTGACCAAGCAGTTTTCCCAATCTCCAGTTGGTTGGAGCTCGAGGTGCTGAAAAAGAAGTTTCTTAGCAAATGAGAATTAAAAATAAAAAAAGAACAGTTTCTTAAAGTGGAAAAGTCAGATGGCATATGAATAAAGATCTGCATTCATTTCATTCTTGAACACAAAAGGAAATCTTGACTATCAAAATTCATAATAGTCTCCATCTTTCAAAAGTTTTCTCTTTAGTGAATTGTCTAAGAATTCTAAACTTGGGGCTGGGAAGGTGGCTCAGTGGTAGAGCACTTGCCTTGCATGCATGAGGCCCTGGGTTCCATTCCTCAGCACCACTTAAGCAAAAAGAAAAAAAAGCCGGAAGTGGCGCTGTGGCTCAAGTGGTAGAGCGCTAGCCTTGAGCTGAAGAGCTGAGGGACAGTGCCCAAGCCCAGAGTTCAGGCCCTATGACGGGACCCCCCCCCCCAAAAAAAAAGAAAGAAAGAATTCTAAACTCAAGTTAAGTTTTTTATTCCTTTGACTTTTTTTTACCCCAAGCTTTTCTTTTTTTTAGTAAAAATGTGACAGCATTTTTCACTCAATCTAAGATGCTAATGAATATAAAATGCACAAATGGTAATCTTTACTGATGGAAAGAGCACTACTCCCATCCTAAAACGAGAAATTTGGCCAGTCTACAAAATTAAAACCTTTATTGAACTTGTTGGAATAACTGAGATTGCAGGACATGTAAGTAGCTAAAATCTAAAGTAAATGATCACTTTCCAAGAAGAACCAGAATACAAGCACTGGCTCAATCAAGGCAGAACACAGAGAGAGACTTACAGTGAGTGATAGGAAAGGAAAATTCAGCTCAACCATGAACAATTCAGGGCTTAGTTCACACTCACTCTAAGTCTTTACAGTGAACGTCCTTCCATACACTTACAGGAATGGAGACTACAGACAGTTTGATGTGGTGGTTGAATGTAGAGAATGAAAGGGCCCACTGCTAAGGGAAAGGTATGAACCCTCCCTTCCTTCTACCTTAAGAAATGAAAGCCTTTAATTTCTGCAGAAATTTTAACTCCAGATAAGGGGAACAGGAAAGAGGAATTAAAAAATATATACTGAGAAGCAGCAAGAGTGGAAACCTCTGGGACCTGACCATTAGAGTTTTCCTAGATTCCTAAAAGATGGGCAGGATCAGAAAGAAAGCCTACTGACTCAGAAGACTGAGAAAATGGAAACTGCCCCAAACTGAAGCTGGGCATGTCAGCACTGAACCTTTTATTTTTCCCTTTCCCAAATCCTAGGCTAACAAATAACAGCAATCAAGTTACTGCGGAAGGAGGGGTAAGGTCATAGAGAATGAGTACAGGCATACAATAAAGGCCAAAAACAAGGATACAGCAGAAACATTAAGAAAACTGCTATTGGAAACAAGGAATTTGAAATCCACAGCACACAGGAACCACAGCAACAACAAAATTCAAACCCAACTCAACTAAGAAGTAGACAGAGGATCTGTCTAGTCCAGGCATAAAGTTTGTTTACCTTAGTCTCCATTATCCTGATCCAGATGTCAGAAGTTCAATATAATATTAGAAGACACAAAACAGCAAACAAAGTAAAAGCAACGGGGTGAATGCAACAACATAACCAGACTTAAGACTAACCTGATTATGATGTTAAAGGTTCTTAGAGAAAGGTAGACAACATGCATAAAAACTGCAGCACAAAGTCAAATGAAAAGAAAAACCGAAATTGAAAACAAAGAAATAGGGCTGCAGCATGGCTCAAGCAGTAAAACTACCAGCCAAACAAACAAAGTATGCAAGGTCAAGTTCAAATTGGAATGAAGAAGGAAGGAAGGAAGGGAAGGAGGGAGGGAGGGAGGGAGGGAGGGAGGGAGGGAGGGAGGGAGGGAGGGAGGGAGGGATGAAGGGTTCCTTCAATAATAGATCATGAATAGATCATTAATCTTAGCAAGGCTGAGAAAATAATCAATGAACCTGAAAACAGACATAAGAAATTTCCCAAAGTGTGAGCGGAGAAGAACTGACAAAGATGTAAAAGAGTATCGGACAGTCCATGGTACCAGTACCTGGAATGCTAAAGTGAATGGGAAAGAAGAAATATTTGAACAGATAATGACTAGGAATTTTTCATAACTATAGATATAACAAACTCAGGAAACATCTATTGAGAATTTGCACACAAATACACTCAGACAAGTTATATCCAAACTGTTAGGAATCAAAATCCTAAAAGCTACCAGAAGTGGAAAAAAGAGCACATTATTTACAGAAGAATGAAGGGAAGACTAAAAGTAGAGCTCTTCTCTGAAAGCACATAAACCAGAAGACAGTGATGAGTGATAACTTTAAAGTACTTAAATTAAGGCTAGGCATAGTAGTAGATGCTTATGATTCTAGTCCACTTGGGAGTTAGATACAGAAGGATCATAGTTCAAGGCTAGACTAGGCTATATAGTAAGTTCAAGGCCAGCTTGGGCAATATAACAAAACTATCGTAAAACAACAATAAAGTGTTTTTTGAAGAGAATGTATGTAGAGAATTCTATACTAAAAAATATATCTTTCAAAAATGAATAAATATATTTTCTTTTTAAAATTTATTGTGATTATAGAGGTGATATACAGGGGGGTTATATTTATATCTGTCAGGTGAACTGTATTTTCAAACAAAAACCAAAATAATTTATTGTCAGTAGACTTGTAACAAAGGTTAAATGCAACTCTCTATGCAAAATTAATTTAATACCTCACTAAATCTTGGATCTACATTAGTTAATAAAAACGAAAGATTTCCTTTCTTATTTTCAATCAACTTAATAGACAGCTGTCTAAAGCAAGAGAATAGCAAGAATAGTGTGGAATACATATGTAGAAGAATAACACATCAGCCCAAAAGGGAGGAATTCCTATTATTCAAAGTTTGTTGCAACAAAGTTCCAAGCATTAATCTCTCAAGGCATTGTGACAAAGTCCAAATACTCTGCAATCTGGCCTTAGTTACTACTATAGTCCTAGTCCTACAATTTCAAATAAGATACCCCCAATGTCAGTAACAAAGTTCCTCCCCACATTCAGAATATGTCATGGTCACTTGCACACATCACCTCCTTAGCTAGTGAGTGAACAACTTCAACCACACTTAAGATTTAGATTAAACAATATACTATAATTATTTCTCAATATTCAACAAGCATATGAGGAACAGAATGGAGAATAACTAGTTAGTAGTAATTAGCAGTGACACCATATATACACTTGATATTCCAGCCACCTTTAGAAATACCATCATCACCTCTTTTGAGGAGTTGGTTTCACTCTAAGAACTCACTTGTTATTTTAGTATTATAAAGTTCTATAAAGGTTTTGTATACATTTCATTATGACATTTCTATTACTTACAACGGCTAGGTGGGCTGATGTCCATTACAGTCAAAGTAGGATTGTCTATGTCACTTCCCCTTCTTCTTATTCGACTGTCATCATACTCTGGGGTAAAGATACTGCTGCCACTACTAGTGCTTAAGGAGTGATCAGTAGGACTGAAACTCACAGGAGACCGGAAGGTGGTGCCCTGGGTCCTTCTAGCTCTTGGAAAGGTTTTACGACCTACAAAATGAAAAAACAATTAGCTTACTCCTTTTACTAATATGCTGTACATTAAAATACTTAAATTTTGTAACATAGGAAATAGAAATGTGTGCTATAGGCTAACATACTGAAATGACTATGGAGGAAACACTAGAATGTATATTTATGCATGCGTGGGCATGCGCACGCACGCCGCGCGCGCACACACACACGCACACACTCCAAATGAAAACCACAGAAAACCTTCATATCTAGATTAAAAAAATGGAGAAAAAGACTTTATTCTCATTTCCAATAGTTTAAGAATAATATAAAACAAAAATAGAGATGTTTATAGGTAGCATTTTTTTTTCCTGGTGTCTGAACTCAAGGCTATTCCTTGTTAGACAGGTACTCTACCTCACATGAGCCATATCCCCCAGTCCTTTTCATCTTAGCTAGTTTCCAAATAGGTCTCATATTTATGCCCAGGCCAACCTGTACCACAATTCTTCTATTTAGGCTTCTTCCCATGTAGTTGGAATGACATGCCCACGCCACCAATCTCAGTTCATTTACTGACTGAGATAAAGTCTAGCTACCTTTTTTTGTCTGGGCTGCCCTTAAAAGGAGATCTTCCTAATCCCTGCCCTCCCGAGTATCTAGCATTATAGACATGAGCCACTGGCCTATACACTGACTGTAAATGTTTTTCCTCAAGGGCACAATGCAAGTGTAAATTTCAACATTAAGCTGTAACTTTCTAAGTAGTATTAATTTCAATATTAAGGTGTAACTTTCTAAGTAGTATTATTTTTACAATACTGTTAAGGAAAGACAAGTTTTATATACTGACATAAAAACTAAAATAAATTTGATTATGACTCAATTTCCTCAAAACTCTTTTTATTTTTGTTCTTTTTCTTGGTGGCATTGGGGTTTCAATTAAGGTCTCATTCTTGCTACACAGGTACTTTACCACTTAAACCAAGCCTTCGGTCCTTCCCAAAGTTTTTAAGATCAGAAAATGAAGGAATTCAAAAACAAATTATTTCTTATGGTATCATACATATGAGATTAAGTTTTTATATTAATTATATTTGAGAATGCTGAATTGTTAGTCAGGTCTAACCATCAGAGACTCACCATCATTATACTCTTGATGATGATATGAAACATGATACCTTCTTGGATATGTTCCTCCTTTTCCAAATTTCTCAAAGATAGGGTTATCATAGTCTGTTAAGACATATAATAAGGTTATTAAAAAAGTCAAATGCTGTAATAAAAAAGCACATTTACAAATGCTTATTTGATTTTACAAAAGTCTCCTCCTCAGTCAAAATATGAATATTTAAAATGCAGAATTTGTACTCTAACCTGAAAACTCCTGATGATTATCTGGGTAGCTCTGTGCCCTAGGCATTCGTGATTTTGGATAGCTCTCTCTATAAATAGAAAATGAAACATTAAGAGAAAGTATGTAAATAAAGCATGTGAAAAAAATTTAAGCAATATCTGTATGTGTACACACGTGTGTGTGCATATAAGAAATTCACTCTTAAAAAAAGAAACTTTAAACCTTATTTGGTACCTATATACAAAAGGTTGGCTTTTAAAATTAGCTTTTTGAATTTTGAATTAGCTTTTTGAATGATATATTTTGGAATCACGAGTATTTGGAAAATCCTGTTTCAGTTCAAGCTGTTTGGTAATTCAACTTTCTTAACTATTTCTGCATCTACAGAGTGGATAGCATCTATACAATGGACATAATTCCTAATTCATCAAATGTTTCTAAGTCAAATGTTCCAAACAAGTTACTCCAAACATCAAGTACTAAATATATAGCTTTTTTGTTGCTATATCCTAGAAATGCTTAACTGTCTACTGACACAGATAAAATTTCATTTAGATAAAAGAAAAATAAATGTAAATTCCTAAACAGTAGTGTTATATTTTTATAATACTACGTTCATAAAACAATCCCAGAAGAGAATAAATAGGTGATGATTTTAATATTAACCCTGTCCAGCACAGGGTGAATACTAAGAGAACTATGTTCTACTGAGACCAAGAGAGCGCATACTTGTGACAAAAATTCACAGATGCAACTTATTTCACACAAGCACTTATATTTTTAAAATGTCAACCAGTAATTTGGGCAACAATTACCAAAAATGTAAGTTATTTTTAATATGGTGCTAGAATGAAAGTAATTTTTTTTTTGCCAGTCCTAGGGCTTGAACTCAGTGCCTGGCACTGTCTTCAGCTTCATTTGCTTAAGGCTAACACTCTATCATTTGAGCCACAGCACCACTTCTGGCTTTTTCTGTGTATATAGTACTAAGGAATCGAACCCAGAGCTTTATGCATGCTAGGCAAGCACTCTACCACTAAGCCACCTTCCCAGTCCCTGAAAGTAATTTTGAACAGGTAAAATAACTAAAAAAAATCTCCAAGCCAAACATAAAAAATTTGGTAAGTTTTACAAGTAGTTTTAAAAGTGAATATACAGAAATTCTAGGTTTTCACTTGCCTTCAAATACATGATTTTTGGCAAGCAGAAATGCCAAAAGTACTATGATCAAATGCTCAAAATTGTGTAAGTACATACATTTCAACTAATAAAGGTACGAGTTAAAAGATTTACCTTCACTACAAAAAACTTCATTTGCCAACAGCATAAACAAGTATCAATTAACTACATTTTCTGTATGTAGACTGAAATAGTTACTAATGGTTTTACATGTTCTATACATGTGTATTTACACATATGTACTAAAACCCAAAACTACAGTCCACATTACCCATCCAAAGGACTATCAAGTGATGGACAACTTCCTGAGCCAGAATTTTCAGGGCTGCTTAAAGATAATGGATCCAGCATCTAGGAAAACAAACAGTTCCACCATGATTCCATCTGATATAACTAAAACATTCTTCAAAAGAAATTATTTTACTGACTCCTCTGTACAACTACTTAGAATTTAAAATCCTCCAAAAAAAGATATTATTTTGATATTTTTAATTTTTTTGGGGGGGGAGGGGCAGTATTCCCCCTCCAAAACGTGGGGGTTTTCTGTTTTGTTTCTTGGAAGTACTAAAGTTTGAGATCGGGGCCGGGCACTTACTTGGCTGGTGTTCTACCACTTGAGCCACATCTCCAGCCCTGCATTTAACTCAACATTTAGTTAGAGATGAAGTCTCAGAGACTTTTGTGCTCAGGTTAGCTTCCTGTCACTACCTTCAGATGTCAACCTCCTGAGTAGCTAAGATTACAGGTGTGAGCCACTAGCTTGGCAAAATTACCCATTTCAAGTGCACAATTTAGTAAAATTCAATGACTCTTGATATACTGAGTTGAACAGCCTCACAACTGTACAACAGTTTTAATACTCCAGAAGAAACTCCACACTCAATAGTATTGCACTTATTTTCAAACATTTGGCAAGCCATGGCTCCAAAGGTTCCTAAGAGAAAAATATACCATCTCTATATTCTATTAAAATGAAAGCTAAAATATTTCATATAATTTTGCTTACTGAAAGTGAACTGTGGCTCCACCAAACCAAGACTATGCAGTGACCACTGCAGTAGTGCAAGCACCCAATGCAATGTTAAGGAACTAAAAACAGAGCTCCATAAAAACGATAATTACACTTTAAATATGTCCATTTTTATTAAGTAGTTGTACAAAAGGGTTTCAATTCCAGAAGTCAGGTTATGCATCTCGATCAATATTACCCCTTCCATTGTTCTCCCTCATCTTTGAAGTATTCTTTTAAAATGTTACAGACATTTCACAAAACTGAGTTAAATAAACAATATTTATAATTTTACCCTATCTTTCAAGTGTTCATTAAAAAAATCTGAATACTAGTTAATCCTAGAATTATAAAACAAATGTTTCATTTATGGATTAGTAATATAAGCTGCCTAATTTCAAGAGTTATCTTTATTCATCAATATATAAAGGCACATGCAAATTCATAGACATATTTCAATTTTTTAAAACATTTTTCACTTTAAAGACATGGGATTGGAAAAGAGGTAAAGCACACACGTGTGTACACATATATACACACATGTACACACACACACACACACACACACACACACACACACACCCTCAAAGTACTTTCCAAATCACACTGGCCCCAACCAATAACCTTCAGACAAAATGAAAAAACAGCATCCAACAATGGCTTACTTGGTCCATGCTCTCTGGAATGAACTCTCCTTCACTGTTGATGCTAGTGAATGACCCATTCCGGGCAACCTGGTGTAATTCATCTGGAATGTATCCTGGGGGAGGGGAACTTCTATCTCTACTAGTGGAACCTCAAAAGAAAGAAATTATGATTTCAAAGCAATTTTATCAATAGCAAGGAAATCAAATGTTTTAACAGACAACATTTAGGAGCTACATAAAAATTATTTTAGCAAACGAAAACATACTTATTAAAATGTATCAGAACATGTATATTCATAAAACATCAAATGCTTTTATAACCTTTCTAAACTCTCACCCTACTGTAACTACTATAATATTCACTAGAATATTAATTTTTATGCATTAGGTAGTATGTTCTTCTGACTGCTGACAACTTCCTCATGGGGTACCGATATACCACAGAATCTGAGATAAATGCAATTGCACCTGAACTTGCAGAGATAACTTATACCTTGCTAGCTTTTTTAAAAAACAAAAATATTTTAAAATATTTTAAGTAGTTATACAAAGGCATTTAGAATTGAAACCCCTGCCAGTTCTTTCTTTTCTCTGTATGTGTGCCAGTCCTGGGACTTGAATTTAGGGCCTAGGCTCTATCTGTGGGCTTTTTTGCTCAAGGTTAGCAACTACCACTTCAGCCGTACTCAACTTTTTGGTTAATTAGAGAAAAAGAGTTTCATGCCAGGCTGTCTTTGAACTGTGATCCTTAGATGTCAGCTTCCTAAGGTAGGATTACAGGTATGAGCCACCAATACTCGGCCCCTTGTTAGCTTTTAACATAAATTTGAGGCAGCATCATGATACAGTGAAAGACTATGGGGTTGTGGAAGTCAGAGCATAGCTTTAGTCCCAGTTCCAATTATTCACCAGCTGTCTAGCCGTTACCAAATTATCATGAAACTGTTTTCCCTGTAAACATGAGACTAAATCCATTCTTTGCAAGGATGTTTTACTGGTAAAAATCATAATGAATGGTTTTCTGTGTACACAGACATATGGTCCTGTGATATTCTTTCAGAGTGAGGTACACACCTGTTAATGTCAGCACTGGAGAGGTAGAGGAAGGAGAGTCAAGAGTTTGAGACTAAGCCAGGCACGGGTGGCTCAAGCCTATAATCCTAGCTACTTAGGAGGCTGAGATCTAAGGATCGCAGTTCAAAGTCAGCCCAGGCAGGAAAGTCCATGAGATTCCTATCTCTAATTAACCACCAAAAAAACTGGAAGTGGCACTGTGGCTCAAAGTGGTAGAGTGCTAGCCCTGAACAAAGGAGCTCAGGGACAGCACCCAGACACAGGTTCAAGGCCCAGGACCAGCAAAAAAAAAAAAAACAGTAATAATAAAACATACTCTAGAAATTCCCAGCTCAGCATTTTGATAGCATTCTTGGCAATAACTAAAATCCCTGAAAAGACTTAGGCACTCAAGAGCCTGCTCTACTAATTTCTAGAATCACTTCTTTAATTTTTTTCCTTGCATTCCATTGTACAATTAAAATCTCTTCAAGGTTTTCTTTGGATATGTTCATCATTAAAGTACCATGAGGGAAGTGGCGCTGTAGCTCAAGTGGTAGAGCACTCACCTTGAGCTGAAGAGCTGAGGTATAGCGCCCAGGCCCAGAGTTCAAGCCCCATCACACACACACACACGCACACACACACACACACACACACACACTAAAGTACCATGAGTAACAAAAAACTTAAATGGAGATTGCTAATCCTATGGTAAGTGAAATTACTTTCTAAGGAAGATCAAATAAATGTGGTTAAGAGAAATTATAAACAGTACAGCAATAGGGTGCTGTTTATTAGGTATATGTTTTGGTGTTGTCCTGTGTTAAAAGATGGGGGAGAAACTAAAGTTTCCTTCCCCACTCCATGACTCAGTAACTGTTTCTTACCAATTAGAGAAAGCCGTTTCTTCTTCTCTGCTCCAAGTACTGTATTATCCAAATCTTCTAGTGATGGCAATGGTTCTGAATTTATAGCCTACAGAAGAAAAAGGACAATAAGTACTTCCCTTTCAGAGCTTTAAAGAGAATCCTGACACCAGTACAACCTACCTATTCTTTATTCTTGGTGGGCCTTGTCAAATCTACTCTTAAAAATTTTAATTATGTCAGGAACAATAATACATGCCTATGGTTCCAGACACTTGGGAGGTTGAGCAGGAGGACCATTTGAACCCAGGAGTTCAAAGACAGCTTGGGCAAGACAGTGAAACTGTGTATCCAAAAAACAAAATAAAACAAGACATTTTAATCCTAACATGATCCCCAAGTCGTGAGTTTCTATTAGTTTCACATGTACAATGTAGTATTCTTATTTGTAATTCTGACTATCTGGTTTTGAATACCAACATTAAACTATAGCAATTAAGAGTATGTAAGGCCAGGCACCAGTGGCTCATACCTATAATCCTAGCTACTCAAGAGGCTGAGATCTGAGGATCGCAGTTCAAAGCCAGCCTGGGCAGGGAAGTCCATGAGGCTCTTATCTCTAATAAACTACTCAGAAAAAGCCAGAATTGGAACTGTGGCTCTAGTGGTAGAGTGCTAGCCTTGAGCACAGACAGCTCAAGGAGAGAACCCAGATCCTGAGTTTATGCCCCACAACCCATTAAAAAAAAATAAAGAGTATGTAAGCATATGTTTAATCATATTGAAAACTATCAATGATTACAGAATATAACTGGTTCACATGGAGTTTTTAAAGTCTTATAATCCTTACTGAAAAACAAAATTCCAGTTCATACCTGTGTACTTCCATTAATTACAAGTAGTATCTTGAGGCTCTTCATATGAATACTGCGATCTAGCAGCTCCACAGCTTTGTCCAAGTCATCTTGGGTAGTTAATGGAATTACCAACTAAACAAAAAGGAACATAAGAAAACATGCAGACATCTCACCATGTCAAGTTCTTCCACAGCATCTCCATTACTAAGGAATTATAAATCTCAAAATACCACTCTTTCTTATGATAATAAAAGTCTGAAAAATATATGTATTTTGTTCTCCCTATCCAACCACTACTGATCTTAAAATGAATATTTAAAACTTTTTATGAATCATTGTACCTAAAAAGCATATTTAAAGATTGATTTTCTGCTTTCTCTTAAGGACAATTCAACTTGAAACAATTGAACTTCAAACCAAGAAATGTGGCTTAAAGTATGTTTTCATTGCAGGTAGCTGGCTATCTGCATGTCCTGGGATATAAAATTGTAAAACCTCATCAATTTTTAAATAAATTTCTATTAACCACTTTGAAAAAAAAATTGATTTTCTGTGGCTATTTCTATAATACTGTCAAATTTAATTAATAGTATTCATCCCAAGACAGTGTTAAGGGATATAACATAAAGTATCTCTATAGATAAACTCTCAGCTTTTTCCTAGATTTGCATTCTCAACTGGTGTTTATGGATACAACAAACTGAGCTGCTATGGAGGGGTGCCAATAGCCACATACCTATAATCTACAGTTTATCTCTGGTGCTGGTGATCTGACTATTATACTCTAGAACAAATGAGCTAAGTAGATCAGCCATCACAGGAAACACTGAATGTGGAACTTCCTTTCATTAAGCATGTAAGATTTCATCTTACAAATGAAATGGAGAACATCTCAAGTGGATACTGTATTATCCCTGAAATGGACAGGGGACAAATACCATATTACCCGTGGGTAGTAGACAAAAGTACCTAACAGTTCTACAGGTCTATGAAAAAGTGATTCATTCAACTTCAGAAGCTACTCAAGAAGCTAAGATTTGAGGATCAAGTTTGAAGCAGACTGGGCAGCAGGAAAGTCCATGAGACTCTTATCTCCAATTAACAACCATAAAGTGTAGGTGTGGCTCAAGTGGAAGAGCAGCAGTTTTGAGCAAAAAAGCTTAGAGACAGCACCTAGGCAGAATTCAAGCTCCAATAGTGGCACAATTTATTTTTAAAAGTCACTCTTAAGCATGACATTAAGCAAGATATAGTGGCTCACACCTATAATTCTAACAACTACTGGAGATGGAGATCAGGAAAAAGCTAACAAGACCCCATCTCAACAAATAAGCTGAGTATTGTGGTTTATGCCTGTGTTCCCAGCTTGTAAGAGGCAAAGGTAGGAGACTGAAGTAGGTGACTGATCTGGACAAAAACAAAACAGAGACCCTAGTAGAAAAATAACTAAAAATAACTAAATAAATAACTAGAACTGGGGCAGCTCAAGTGATAAAATGCCTGTCTGACAAGCCTGAGGCCAAGTTTAACCTCAGTATTCACATGCACACAAACAGACAAACTCACACCACACATACACAATTTTGCAGCTTAAGAAAACTGCCAATAACATCAAAACATACTCCATTCCATAGATGGACAGAGTAAAAATAAGCAAACATATCCCACACTTGCCAACCATATCTAGCAAGCATACCATATGAGTCACGTCAACTTAATACCAACTCAGCTTGGGGTCCTCTGAGTATAACTCCCTTGAGGACAAGGACCTCTACCTGGAGCAGAGCCCAATGAAAAGCAGATCTTTGATTTGTTTAGTAATGCCCTTGTGAGAGCTCAAACTCACTCAAAGTATTTAGTGTGAAGCCACTCTTTAGAATTCTTTATAAGAATAAAAACTCTTAAGAAAGGCTGCTTAGCACAAATATAAACCAAAATTAGCAGGACTCATCATACATTATGCTCACATTTTACTCTGTACTTAAAATTTACTCATGCTTTGTTTGTAGCAAATTTTTATATTTCTAGAATATTTTATATTCCTATCTATTAAACAGGTTCTTTTTCCTGTGAAAATTTTCCTCTAATAAAAGAAAAATTATTACCTATTGGGTATGATAGAATGAGCCAGATCTACTGATCTGCTTAATTAAATTCCGTTCATTTCAGTACCAATTAAGAACCATAGTAACTAATTTTGTTCTTAACTCTAATTCTCTCCCATGTCCTAAGGTCACTTAAAATAAAAGAAAGCCAATTTCAAACTATCTATATTGTACTAATTCTAAGGTCACCTAAAATGAGAGAAAGCCAGTTTCAAATTATCTATATAGTACTAAATAAACACTTTTTTGTGTGGTGAATTAATTTCAACCTCATTCATGAAATGTTTCCTCTTGGCTTATTCTTATTAAGTTGGTTTTATGTTAATAAATTGTTTTGTGGAAAGGAAACCAAAAGTTGTGTGTAACAACACATTAAATAGAACTAAAATTAGAAAGAAGTGAATTAGCTTCCTGAATTTATATACTGAAATAGGAGAACAGCTCATGAAAGAATTTTTGTGCTCTACTCATCCAAAACAGGAAAGAGCTTAAGATTCTTTGCTTAACACACAACACACACACATATACACACACACAATAAAAGGAACCAAATTAACAAACGCAATCAATACAACGTCAATTTCCTGGTTGTTTCAATCCTGACTGTATTATGCTCATTTTGAAAAGAAGAATTTATATTACACTAGAAAAAAGTATTTACCCGAACAAAATAATAAACAGTAAAGCAAGGTTTTCACTTGCCCACAAATGTACAAAGCTAACAACTCTTAATATTTTCCTTAATACTACAACATCCAAGGCCCAAGTTTGGTGAATACTATGTAGTAACATGAATTAGAATTGGTTAAGGTCCTGGTTTGCTGAATACTATGCAGTAACGTGAATCATAATTGTTTTACTCACAAAAATCACAAGTTCTACAGAACCCCAGGTGGGAAGAAATCTTAAATGTAATTTTACCCTAATATTTTTTCTGTGTCATATCCTGCCTTAATAATAAAAAAGCTCTATCAAAGCATCTCATTAAAATCTAATATTTTCAAATATGTTATTTGTACAGTGCTTTAAAATTTGCAAAGCACTTTCACACATTTCTGTGTTTTTTTTTCAAATTCTTTATTGTGATTAAGTGGTTACATAATTTCCCAAATTTCACAGTATTCTGGAATGGTGATGCTTAGTTAAAGTCACAAACACATTCTAACTTTTTTTTTTTTTTGGAGGGGGGCGGGGGTCTGGCCATGGGGCCTGAACTCTGGGCCTGGGTACTGTCCCTAGGCTCTTCAGCTCAAGGCTAACGCTCTACCACTTGAGCTACAGCGCCACTTCCAGCTTTTTTCTTTTTGCTTATGTGGTGCTGAGGCATCAAACCCAGGGCCTCATGCATGCAAGGCAAGCGCTCTACCATTGAGCCACCTTCCCAGCCCCCACATTCTAACTTTTATGGGGCAAATTGTCTATCATGGTCTATAACATTTATAAGTTCTATGAGTTTTGCAATAGTTATTTCTTCCACATTGGGTGATATGTACATTTGCTTTGTTTTACATAGCATCAGCTGTTCCCTCTTTCCCACTTGTTCCCTCCCTCCCATTGCTGCTATTGAGTTGCTTAGTTCATTTTGGCCAATGTCCTGTGCAGCTAATGAGTCCCGCTGTTGTATGTTTTTCCCTGATTCCCTCTAGTTCTGTGTTCTTCTGCTGGTTTCCCTCTGGTGTGTACATTATACCATATATGTGATCAGTAGCATGGGGTTATTTAGTAGTGATGTGACCAGATGAGTGGGGTCCTTTGTTTCTTAAGTTTTGTTAATTTTGTCGTATCCACCTTACATTTTAAATTTAACATCCACTTATCAGGGAGACCATGTGCTGTTTGTCTCTTTGCCCTTGGCTTACCTCACTCAATACGATTTCTTCTAGCTCCATCCATTTCCCTGCAAATAATGCCATTATTTTGTCCTTTCTAATGGCTATGTAATATTCCATTGTGTATAGATAGCACAATTTTTGGATCCATTCATCTGTGGTGGGACATCTGGGTTGTTTCCATATCCTGGCTATTGTGAACAGTGCTGCAATAAACATGGAGGTGCATGTGTCCTTGTATCCTGATTCCTGTTGTTCAGGATAGATACCTAGGAGTAGTATGGCTGGGTCATAGGGGAGGTCTATATTTGGCTTTCTGAGGCCCCTCCAGACTGCTTTTCAAAGTGGTTGTATAAGTGTACATTCCCACCAGCAGTGTAATAGGCTTCTTCTTTCTCTGCATCCCCTCCAGCATTTGTTTTTGGCTGACTTTAGGATGTGGGCCATTCTGACTGGGGTAAGGTGGTATCTCAGGGTTGTCTTCATTTGCATTTCCTTCACAACCAGGGATGGTGAACATTTCCTCATGTGTTTCTTTGCTATTTTTATCTCTTCTTTTGAGAAGTCTCTCTTTAGTTCCCTTGCCCATTTAGTAATTGGTTTGTTAGATTTGGGAGGGATTAGTTTCTTGAGTTCCCTGTATATTGTCTGATATTTTGCTGGCAAATATTTTTTTCCCAGTTAGTTGGTGGTCTTTCTAGCTTGGTTGCTCTAGCTTTATCTGTGCAAAAATTTTTTTATTTTAGGGGCTGGGAAGGTGGCTCAGTGGTAGAGCACTTGCCTTGCATGCATGAGGCCCTGGGTTCAATTCCTCAGCACCACATAAGCAAAAAGAAAAAATAGCCGGAAGTGGCACCGTGGCTCAAGTGGTAGAGTGCTAGCCTTGAGCTGAAGAGCTGAGGGACAGTGCCCAGGCCCAGAGTTCAGGCCCCATGACCGGACCCCCAAACAAAAAAAAAAAAACTTTTTATTTTAAGGTAGTCCCATTTGTAAAGTCTCTCTCCAATTTGTTAGGACTGCTCAGGAAGTTTCTGCCTGTGCCTATAAATTCAAGTGTCTCTCCTACTCTGTCCTGCAGTAGTTTGAGTTTCAGGTTTGATGTTAAGGTCTTTATAATCCATTTTGAGTTAATGTTGGTGCATGGCGATAGGCTGGGGGCCACTTTTAGTTTTCTGCATGTGCCCTCCCAGTTTTCCCAGCACCAGTGGTTGAAGAGGCTGTGTTTCTTCCACTGTATGTCTTTGGCTCCTTTGACAAATATCAGCTGACTGTAGGCGTATGGTTTTCTTTCTGGATCTTCTATTCTATTCTATTGGTCTTCGGGTCTGTTTTTGTGCCAGTACCATGCTATTTGTTATGGCTCTATAGTAGAGTTTGAAGTCCGGCATCGAGATCCCTCCCATATTGTCTTTTTTGCCTAGAATTGTTTTGGCTATTCTAGGTCTTGTGTTGTTCCATATGAATTTTTGGACTGTTTTCTTTATTTCAGAAATGTATGTCATTGGGATTTTAATAGGAATTGCACTGAATTTGCAATTAATTTTGGCAGTATTGCCATTTTTAAAGTTTTTATAGTTTTCGTTAAATAGTTCTTTTACATCTTTGGTTAGGTTAATTCCTAAATATTTTATTGGGGGGGAGGGGTTTATTGTGAATGGAGTTGCTTCCTTTATTTCCCTCTCTGCTTGTATACTGTCAGTGTACAGGAAGGCAAATGATTTTTGTGGGTTGATTTTGTATACTGCTACTTTGCCGAAGTGAATGATAATTTTTAAGAGTTTGGGGATGGTGAAAGTATAGTACCATGTCATCTGCAAAAAGGGATAGTTTAACTTCTTCTTTCCCTATGCGGATCCCTTTAATGTCTTTTTCTTGCCTTATTGTCCTGGCTAAGGGTTCCAGGACTATATTGAAGAGGAGTGGAGACAGTGGGCATCCTTGCCTTGTTACTGATTTTAGGAGAATTGGTTGAAGTTTTTCCCCATTAAGTATAATATTGGCTATTGGTCTGTCGTATATGGCTTTTATTGTTTTAAGGAATGTTCCTTCTATTCCTATTTTCTACAGAGCTTTTAACATGAATGAATGTTGTATTTTATCAAAAGCCTTTTCTGCATCTGTAGAGATAATCATGTGATTCTTGACCTTGGCTCTGTTGATGTGTTGGATTACATTTATTGATTTACATATGTTAAACCATCTCTGCATCTCTGGGATGAAGCCTACCTGGTTGTAGTGTATGGGGTTTTTTTTTTTTATGTGTTTCTGTATTCTGTTAACTAGAATTTTGTTAAGGATCTTTGCATCTGTGTTCATCAAGGAGATTGGTCTGTAGGTCTCTTTTTTGGTTGAGTCTTTGCCTGGTTTGGGGATGAGTGTGATATTGGCATTGTAGAATGAGTTTGGGATAGCTCCCTCCTTCTCTGCTTCTCTGAAGAACTTGAGGAGTATGGGTATTAGTTCTTCTGTAACGGTATTATAGAATTCTGCTGTGAATCCATCTGGTCCTGGGCTTTTCCTTGGTGGAAGACTTATTGCTTTCTGTATCTCGTTGTAAGATATTGGCTTATTTAATTGATTTACTTCTTCTTTGTTCAGTTTGGGCAACTTGTATTACTCTAAAAATGCATCCATTTCTGCTAGGTTTTCTTTCTTTAGAGAGTATAACTTTTGAAAATAGTTATTTATAATTGTTTGGATATCTTGGGTATTTGTTGTGATTTTTCCTGTGGCATCCCTGATCTTGTTAATTTGGGTTTCCTTTCTTCTTTTCTTAATTATTCTTGCCAAAAGTCTATCAATTTTATTTATTTTTTCAAAGAACCAGCTTTTTATTAATTTTATTTATAAATTTCCTATTCTCTATCTCATTAATTTCCACTCTTAATTTGATTATCTGGCTCCATCTAGTAACTCCATTTTTTCATGTTTTTCTAGCTGTTTTAATTGCAACATGAGATTATTTACTTGGGCTGTCTCTATTTTCTTGATGTGGGCACTGAGAGCGATAAATTTGCCCCTCACAACTGCTTTTGCTGTGTCCCACAAGTTTCTTTGTGATGTGTCTTCATTTTCATTGAATTGTAGGAACTTTTTAATTTCTTCTCTAATTTCAAACACTTTCACACATTTCTTATGTTAAGTTTCCCCAAGTTGTTCACAAGTGTCACTCTGTGTAACTGGTATCTTTCCTACTCCTAAAACATAGCATCCTTTCCTCTATGTGGGCTGCCCTCAAGATGCTTTCTTCTCCAGTATTCTTTGTCTGAAACTCCTTGTAGGGTTGGCTTTTCATACTAAAGTCTCGGTACACATAGCACCACTTCAGGTACTTCTTAATACTACAAACAGGACACTATTGCCTTTGCCTTATTCATTATCCCAATACTTTATGAATTTCCTTCAAAGGACTTCATACATCTAAAAAACTCATTTATTAACTTCTTCAATGCCTACTCCCTGAGAAGCTGTAATTCATAAACCATAATATTAAGCTCAAAAAGCTTAATTAAGATTTTCTGAAGATAAAAAAGCAACAACCAATTACTTCATGAAATGTTCCTACCAATTATAAGATCTCAAGAACTGTAAGAAAACCTCAGAGACTACAAAGTCCAAGCCTAACGTTAGAGATTACAAAGGTAATTCCTGAGAGCACAGAGCTCTTCTGTGCCAGAGCAAGCCCTGTGTACTCACCCCCAAAGTTTATCAATCAATTATGTCCAATCCAACACTAAAAATAATCCTTTAGTTTTAATTAAACTGTCTCATTATCAAAACTCTACTGACTGTGACCAGGTATAATATCAGAGGAAAAGGCAGTTCAACAATAAATTAAAAGTTAAACCAAAACATCCAAGCAGCTAACATTTAGGTAATACATAGAATTCTCCCAGCATAAATTTATTATTAGGGGCTGGGAAGGTGGCTCAGTGGTAGAGTGCTTGCCTTGCATGCATGAGGCCCTAGGTTCGATTCCTCAGTACCACATAAGCAAAAAGAAAAAAGCCGAAGTGGCGCTGTGGCTCAAGTGGTAGAGCGCTAACCTTGAGCTGAAGAGCTGAGGGACAGCGCCCAGGCCCAGAGTTCAGGCCCCACGACCGGACCAAAAAAAAACAAAAAAAAAATTTATTATTATTTCTTTTTTTGCCAGTCCTGGGGCTTAAACTCGGGGGCTGGGCACTGTCCTTGAGCTTCTTTTGTTCAAGGCTAGCACAGTGCCACGTCTGGCTTTTTCTGGGTATGTGGTACTGAGGAATCAAACCCAGGACTTCATGCATGCTAGGCAAGCACTCTACCACTAAGCCATATTCCCAGCCCCCCAGCAAAAATTCTTCTTCAATTATTTGCACAGTAACATCTTCTAAATTATTTTATACAATGGAAAAATTTCATTTTAACCAAGTACAATTTACAAATTTACCTGTGATGTTTTATTCATTTAACTCAATATATATTTTTACTATCACTAAATAACAACATTCTTAAAATAATCTCTTACATGAACACACTAGTTGGTCAAATAAGGAGCACTCTAAGTTAAAATACATGTGTTTACCTCATTGTTGGTATAATGTAGATCCATGGACTGTCCAAATGCAATTTTAGCCTTAGACCTCAGATCTTCTAGCTTAACTGGTCTGGGGAACTGAAGGATTCTTTATAGACAGAATTTTAAAATATTTTAATCTTTAGGCATAAACAATATACTACCAACATTCATATCTTATTACATACAAAATAAAATAAAAACTGTGCAAAGTTTAGGGTTTCTTTCCAGAGCTTATAAGGATCATGACCAAATTTCAACCCAAAGTTCAAAATCTCTCCAGTTCTATTCAAATTAAAATTAAAGAAATGTCAAGACTTTCCACAGTTTCTAATTTGCAATAGAAGTGTCATATAAATATTAAAGGCCAATGTAAAACATCCACTGAGGAAAATGTTTAAATGTAGCTATGTGATTCTTGCATAATAAGAATGCAATGAAAGTGTTAAAAATAATAATGAAGCTGTTCTTTGGGACTTCTCAAATTTTGTTTTCTGTATCCTTACCAATTCAACATTTCTTTTAGCCCACAGATTATGTAAACACATTTTAATATATCTTACAGAAATTAAAATGAAATTGAAATATTTTCTTCCTATATCCCAAAGGATTTGCCTTGACTGGCTCAAACAGCATACAGTAGTTTGGGAGAGAAAGTACCATGTAGACTCCAAGCTGCACATAGGAGAGCTCTCATATATTTTATTCACTTTATGTCCCAGGACCTAACATGTAATAAGTATTCAATAAACAGGGCTAAGTAACTAAAAAATTGGGAAAAACAGGCTGGGAAGATGGCTCAGTGGTAAGTGCTTGCCTTGCATGTATAAGGCCCTGGGTTCGATTCCTCAGTACCATATAAGCACAAAAAGTTGAGTAAGTGGTGCTGTGGCTCAAGTGGTTGAGTGCTAGCCTTAGCTGAAGAGCAGAGAGACAGTACCTACACCCAGAGTTCAGGCCCAATGACTGACCAAGAAAAAAAAAAAAAAGATTGGGAAAATATCCATGAAGAATCTCAAATAGGGAAGTGGAGCAGAAACAGTTCTATGGTATGCTTGTTATATTCCATTTTATTCAATTTATATGACTTGTTATTCAAGTTATATGACTTGTACGCCATTTTAAGTCCTTAAGACTGAATTGTTATTATACCAATATATTAAGAAATTAAAATTAAATTCCATCTTCCTATTAGGTTTTTTTAGCTACTTTGTATCAACTAGCACTATCATCATCACCCAGCATCACCACTCCTGTACTAAGATAGAGATCCCCAAGGGTAATGCCAGGTTAGCATCTCCACTAAATAATTTGCAGCTACCATTCCAACTCACTTTCCTCAACATTACTAACAAAACACATCTTATCATTAATGCGTCTTGAGAGTAATCAAAACTATAAACACTAAGTCAATATACATAAATTCAGTGTCTAATAATTGTAAGAAATAATCCATTGAGGGCTAGGAAGGTGGCTCAGTGGTAGAGCACTTGCCTTGCATGCATGAGGCCCTGGGTTCGATTCCTCAGCACCACATAAGCAAAAAGAAAAAAAGCCAGAAGTGGCACTGTGGCTCAAGTGGTAGAGCGCTAGCTTTGAGCTGAAGAGCTGAGGGACAGCACCCATGCCCAGAGATCAGGACCCACAACCAGACCCTCCCCCCGCTCCCCCCCTGCCAAAAAAAAAGAAAGAATCCATTGAGTAAAATATAAGTAAATGGTAAAATTTAAAGAGTGCATTAAGCACTGACCTTATGAATTCTTAATATTGCAAAGTAAAAACAATAATTTCTAATGATTAGCCCAAATTGTAACACATTGTTGTCTAACGTCTAAACCACGTGACACTTTACAGAAGGACTGCTCCATTCTATAAAAGCCATGAAACCTTATTCAAATCTGGAGAGAACTTTGAGTAACCTGTACTAAATTAATGGATAGGTAATGTTTCTTTGATTACCTTTTTTCTCCTCTATGTTCAAATTTGACTCGGACATCATTCTGTAATGAAATGACAAATCAGTCACACAATCATTCAGATATATATTTGAAAGTTCTAAACCATATTTTTCCTTACCCATTTATTTAAGATACAGCAGAAAGGAAAGGGAGGTTTATTTTCAGTGCCAGCTTTTATCAATTTATATTGTCTGCCAAAAAGCTAATTTGAGAATTATGTTGCAGTCAGGCTCAATGGGAAAAAAGCACAAAATCTATCATTGAGGACACATCACAGGTACACATTTGCTGACCTTGCATAATGGAATATTGCATACGACACAGTAGTCTTCCTTTATGTGTAGAGGGAGTATTCCAAGATCAAAATGATCTTCTTTCCCTTTCTTCCTATCAACTTGAAAACTTTCTACTCTGCTCTAAGAAAGCACTTTAAAACTAATTTTTTGTATAATTCAATTGCCAGCATCAATACTCTTATGCTGTTGGGGCCACTATCATGTGCATTATTATTACGGATTAGTTGAAAACAAGTACTATAATATCACGTTAGTTAATCTAAAATGGATCCTCAATTTCTATAATGGTGTATAGCATATATATATATATAGCAGTTTGGACAAATACAATGGACAGTATATACAATGGACAAAGGAATATACTTCATGAGGATAGCAGTAAAAACCAGGAGAGTGTGAAATTTTATCCCAGTATTCAAAATGTCAGGAAATGTAAAAAAAAATTTTTTTTTTTGGTTGGTCGTGGGGCTTGGACTCTAGGCCTGGGCACTGTCCCTCAGCTCTTCAGCTCAAGGCTAGCGCTCTACCACTTGAGCCACAGTGCCACTTCCAGCTTTTTCTACTTATGTGGTGCTGAGGAATTGAACCCAGGGCCTCATGAACACAAGGCAAGCACTCTTACCACTGAGCCACCTTCCCAGCCCAGGAAATGTAAAAATTTTTAAATGGTTCATTTCTAGAATTTTTTTTTTTTGGGTCCGGTCATGGGGCCTGAACTCTGGGCCTGGGCGCTGTCCCTCAGCTCTTCAGCTCAAGGCTAGCGCTCTACCACTTGAGCCACAGCGCCACTTCCAGCTTTTTTCTTTTTGCTTATGTGGTGCTGAGGAATCAAACCAAGGGCCTCAGGCATGCAAGACAAGCGCTCTACCACTGAGCCACCTTCCCAGCCCCTCATTTCTAGAATTTTCCATTTGTTATTTTCAGACTTTGGCCAGCCATAGGTAACTGGAACTTTGGAAATTAAAATCATTTAAAATCGTTTATAAATATCCAGAACAGACTCATTTAGAAAAGAAGAAAAAAAAAACAAATTGCTTAAATGTTTAAATAGATAAAATACAAATATTAGTGAGCAGTTACAATATTCAATAAAATTCTAACATTTCAAAAAGTATATACTGGTGCAGAAAAATGTATAAAACAGAGCATTTGGTTCAAACTATAAAATCTAAACACATTAAAAAAATCTATAAGAGGGGTTGGGAATGTATGTGACTTAGTGGTAGAGTGCTTGCCTAGCATGAATGAAGCCCTGGGTTCCTCAGTACCACATATACAGAAAAGGCTGAAAGTGGTACTGTAGCTCAAGTGTTTGAGTGCAAGCCTTGAGCAAAAGAAGCTCAGAAACAATGCCCACGTCTTGAGTTCAAGCCCCAGATCTAACAAAAAAAATTTTTTTTTATAAAATCAGGTTATTTAAAGAAAAATAATTCACAGACCAACTACATGTACTTGTTAAAATATTCTTGAAATATATACCTGCTTTTTTGGTGATGAAGATTTTGTTTTTCTACTTTCCTGTAAGGATAATGCTGGTCGACTGGCCTTATGAAGGACAGCCAAATCTTGCATGATTGAGTTCAATGCTTGCTGATCATCTAGATATTTTTTAAAAGAACACAATACAGAACTGTAAATTCAACATATACTTATCATATATACCAAATAAAATTTATAATGGCTTTGAACCATGATCCTCAGCTAGGATTATAGGCATAAGCCACTAGCACTTAGCCTTCTATATATTTTAAAGCAACGACTCTTTTGTGCTTTGTTGCTACTGTAAAGCATTATTATTAGAAAATAATAAAAATCAATTTGTTTAGTATATGGCTCCGAGTTCAAGCAAAAGCAATAAAAATGACAAGTGGATGGGAGTTCAGTAAATGCATGTCCAATTTGGAAGTAATAGTGTAATTTGTGTAAGTGATTAGACTGGAAAATCTGAACCAAAAAATATTATGATAAACAACTTACATGTTTACCAAGTATAACCATACACTAAAAGTACACTTGCCCATAATTACATTAAAGAACAAAAGCCAAGTTAAGCTCTTTAGCCCATAATGTTATGTATGTGGTAGTAATTGCATTTATTTTCTTAAGCGAGTAGTAGAGAAAATGTGACAAAGACAAATTTTGGCAAATAAATGTAAGCCAAAAGGATAGACCCAATCTAAGTTTAACTACTTAGCAGTTTATTCGGTCCATTTTCCCAAACCAGGACAAAATAGGCCATAGGCTCCATTTCTGTCTAGTATCTCCCTGCCTAATCCCTTTCACAGGATGAAACCCTCAACATGAAGGAAGAAAAGGTGGCAGCTAACCAAACAGAAAGCAAACAAAGATATACATTGTGTACACAAGTCCATTTCTATATGTTAGTCTCCCTTAAAATTAAATGAATAATACTACAAGATTGTCTTGAGTTGTCAACTATATTGTCCCTAAACATCAATGATATGTTATAGTACTCAGCTATAAAATATGATTTATTTCTTTCTGGCCATCAGGTGCTAAGCAAATCATAGTACATCTGCTGTTCTGAATATTCCTTTTGTGTCCCGAAGAACATGCTCATTTCCAAAACTGCAACAATTCACATTAAAAGTGTTTTAATTGAAAATCTACTTAGTAAATAAATAACTAATATTGCATAAGTTTGCTATATCACAAATTTTCTTCATGGAACAGTTTATCATAGCACATAATAACAATTTCTCCCTTATCTTATCCTTTAATTATTACTGGAAAGTGCCTTTAGTTTGAACTCACCCATCATGACAACCAGCTTGACAATGTGGAAATTAGAATAACTGTTCTTCCATCAGCATTCTTTATTACCTTGGAAGATAGAAAGACAAATACAATAGTAAGAACTAGGACAGACAGCCACAAAAATAAAAACTAATGTAAGTAACACGAATGAGAGATGTGTACACCATAAACACTTTACCCATTTGGGGGGGGTGAGGGGAACACATATATTTTACTTAACATACCAAAATTCCAGACTCACAGAAGAAAAGCAGATGTTCTGCATAGGTCAGTGTTTGTAAAAACAGTTTAGGCACACTAAAGCCAAAACTCTCTTAAAACTAATTTCTCAAGTACCACTCAAAGGCTAACTTTGTAAGCAGGTCTTTTTAAGAATAAGCAGTCTAGCCCATTATGTTAATCCTTTTCTATATAAGTAGAAAAAACAACTTAATATACTAAGAAAACTAAGATAATTTTTAAATGTTGCTGGGCATACAATATGTAATAAAAATTTGTATAGCAATAATAGTACAACAGATATTAATTGTACTATTGTTATAGACATTATTAGAGTTTATATACTGTTACTATTAATCCAAACTACAGTTTATGAGTTTTAAAGTTCTTAATTGTACTACTCAGGCCAACCACTAAATAAATAAAAAGTAAATTTTAGAAAATACAACAAACAAGTCGGGTGCTGGTGGCTCATTCCTGCAATCCTAACTACTAAGGAGGCTGAGATCTGAGGATTGCGGTTCAAAGCCAGCCCAGGCAGGAAAATACATGAGATTCTTATCTCCAAGTAATTACAGAAAAAGCTGGAAGTGGCACTATGGCTCAAGTAGTAGAGTGCTAGCCTTGAGCAAAAGGAGCTCAGGGACAGCATCCAGACCCAGAGTTCAAGCCCCAGAACACAAAAGAAAAAAGAAGAAAAAGAAAAAAATATAACAAAGATGACAAGAAAATTAAAATAAAATACTAGAAAATGTCTATTTAGCAAAAAGGTAGTAAGAGAAATCAAGAAACAAGATATAATGTATAGCATACATGGGAAATATAGATGCAAATTTACCTTATGGGCAATTGTATGTAATATAAATTGGATAAATTAATTAAAAGGCAGAGATTACTCAGATTAAAAATAATATGGTTCAACTACTTGCTATTTAAAGATACACATTTAGATTCAAAGATAAAATAGATTGTAAGTAAAAGGGTGGAAAAAGACACACTGATACAAACATGCCAACAGTTGCCAAAAGAAGACAAGAGGCCTTGCTAGTATTACATTCCATAGGTTATGATATAAAAATTATTAGTGACAATAGGCATTTTATAATGAAAAATGGTAGTTATCAACAATATATAACAATTATAAACATATATGCACCAACGTAACAGTCTAAAAACACAGAAAGCAGCCAGGCGCCAGTGGCTCTTGCCTGTAATCCTAGCTACTCAGGAGGCTGAGATCTGAGAATCATGGTTCAAAGCCAGCCGGGGCAGGAAAATCCATGAAACTCTTATCTCCAATAAACCACTAGAAAACCGAAATGGCATAGTGGCTCAAGCGGTAGAGCGCTCATCTTGAGATGAAGAGTACAGGGACAGCACCCAAGCCCAGAGTTCAAGCCCCACAACTGACAAAAAGAAAAACAAAACAAAACAAAAATAAACTATAAAAGATAGAACTTAAGAAGGAATCATGTTGCAGTTTCAATGTTGTATTTTCAATATGGATAAAATAATACACAAAATCAATGAGCAAACACAATATTTGAACAACATGATAAACTATTAGCTTTGAGTCAGGTATGGAGCCAAGTACCATGCTATAATCCCAATACTTAAAAAGCTGAGGCAGAAGAACTGCAAAGTTCAAGGTGAGCTTACTCAGTTCAGTCAAACTGAGCTACACAGTGATAATGCCTCAAAAATAAATAAATGAATAAAAGTTACTGCACTTAATGAATATTATTATACAACATCCTCCAAACAGCAGAACACACATTTTTTTTAATTGTAAAGATACTATACAGAGGGTTACAGTTACATGAGTGAGGTAATGAGTACACTTCCTCTTTAACATTGTTACCCCCTCCATTGTTTTCCCCCTACCATCCCCTCCCTCCCTCCCTTCCCCAGGTTCTTTTTTTTTTTATTGTGATTAAGTGATTACATAATTTCCGGAATTTCACAGTATTGTGGAATAATGATGCTCATTTAAAGTCACAAGTTCATTCTAACTTTCCTGGAGCAAATTGTCTATCACAGTCTGTAACATATAACAGTGTTCACGTGTTATATACCATATATGTAATCAGCAGCATGGGGATATTTAGTAGTGGTTCAACCAGATGAGTGGGAGTTCTTTGTTTCTTAAGTCCTGTTAGTTTTGTCATATCACCTAACATTTTGGATTTAGCATCCACTTATCAGGGAGACCATGTACCGTTTGTCTCTTCGTTCTTGGCTTACCTCGCTCAACGTGATTCCTTCTAGCTCCATCCATCAGAACACACATTTTGTACAAATGCATGTAGAAAAATTTCTGGGACAGAGCATGTGCTAGGCTAGACAACAAAATCTTAATAAATGGGCTAAAATCACCTGAAGGATGTTCCTTCAGGTTATCAGTTAACTGATTAACAGTTATAGGTTCACTGCAGTATGCAGCAAAATTAGAAACTAGTAACAGTAGGAAAACTGAAGAATTCAAAAATATGTAAAGATAAAACCACAGTCAAAAATAACAGTGTTAAAAGAAGTCGTAGGGAAATCAGAAAATACTTCAAGATAAATAAAAATGAAAGCAAACTGAAGTTTACTGTATGCATCTAAAGTAGAGATGAGATTTATAACTATAAATATCTATGTTAAGAAAACATGTAAGAGGGGCTGGGAAGGTGGCTCAGTGGAACAGTGCTTGCCTTACATGTATGAGGCCCTGGGTTCGATTCCTCAGCACTACATTAATCAGAAAAAGACAGAGATGTGTTGCTGTGGGGCTCAAGTGGTAGAGCACTAGCCTTGAGATGAAGAGTGGAGGGATAGTGCCCAGGTCCAGAGTTCAGGCCCCACGACTGACAAAAGAAAAAAAAAAAAGAAAAGAAAGGAAAAAAAACTGGGCCTGTAATCCTGGCTACTAGGGGGAAAGAGGTAGGAAGTAGGAAGATTGCAGTCAGTACAAAGGAATGAAAATGAAAATCAAAATAAAACAAAGAAGTTGGGGAGGTGACTCAAGTGGTAAAACACCTGCCTAGCAAACATGAGACCCTGAGTTCTAACTCTAGTAACACACACACACAATGTAACTAACCACATTAATAGAAAAAAAGACAATTTTTAAAAAAAACTGTTTCAACAGAAAATGCACAGAACTCCTTTAACAATCAAAGCATAACAAATAGAAGGAAATATTCTTCAAGTTAATAAATGTTATCAATTAAAAATCCTCAAGTAACATCATACATAATGGTGAAATACTAGATAAGATTTACTCCCTCCAAGATCACAATTACTAAAGGCTATCTGTTCTAACTACCTGTATGTAATAAGTATTGTACTGAAAGTTTTAGTCAGAATCTAAGTCAAAATTAAGAAAACTATACCTGTTTGCAAGTGATATAATACTGTATACAGAAAAACCTATGGAATTCATTTTAATACTACTCCTACAAGTAAATTCAGAGAAATAACAGAATTCAACATCAGTATTCAAACATTAGCTGTATTGCTTGTTTTGCTTTTATTTTTTTAATCTTCAAGTGATTATACAAGGAAGTTACAATTTAGTATGTCCATTTATCTGTCAGTACATCTTGATCAAAGTCATCTCTTCCATCACTCACCCATCCCCCATTTTGGTTATTATTTATTTTTAAATTAGTTGTATTCTATACATTAACCATACACATTCTAGAATGAAATTAAGAAATCACTATCAGCTGGGCGTCAGTGGCTCACACCTGTAATCCTAGCTACTCAGGAGGCTGAGATCTGAGGATCACAGTTCAAAGCCAGCCCGGGCAGGAAAGACTGTGAGACACCTATCTCCAATAAAAACCACTAGAAAACCGGAAGTGGTGCTGTAGCTCAAGTGGTAGAGCACTTGCCTTGAGCTGAAGAGCTGAGGGACAGCGCCCAGGCCCAGAGTTCAAGCCCCATGACTGACAAAAAAAAAAAAAAAATCACTATCATATACAGTAAGATTAAAGAGATTAAATATTTAGAAATATATTTAAATAACAAATTTGTATTCTGAAAACTGCAAAACATTATTGAAGAAAATTAAAGTAGACCTAAATTTACAGAAAGATGTTCTACATTCATGGGTGGGAATTTTTTTTTCTTTTTTTGTTGTGGTTGTGAGGCTTGAACTCTGGGTCTGGGTACTATCCCTCAACTCTTCAGCTCAAGGCTTACACACTACCACTTGAATCACAGTGCCACTTCCAGTTTTCTGGTGGTTTATTGGAGATAAGAGTCTCCAGGACTTTTCTGCCTGTGCTGGCTTTGAACCGTAATCCTCAGATCTCAGCCTCCTGAGTAGTTAGGATTACAGGCGTAAGCCACTGGCCTGGCAGGAAGCAATTTATTTTTTGGGGGGGGGGTCCAGTCATGGGGCCTGAACGCTGGAACTGGGCGCTGTCCTTCAGCTCTTCAGCTCAAGACTAGCGCTCTACCTCTCTTGAGCCACAGCACTACTTCCGGCTTTTTTCTTTTTGCTTATGTGGTACTGAGGAATCGAACCCAGGGCCTCATGCATGCAAGGCAAGCGCTCTACCACTGAGCCACCTTCCCAGCCCAGGAAGCAATTTTTTATTGTAGATCATGGGGCTTGAACTCAGGGTCTGGGCACTGTTCCTGAGCTTTTTCACTCAAATCTAGCTTCAGCCACAATGCCATTTCAGTTTTCTGGTAATTAATTGGAGATAAGAGTCTCATAGACTTTCATGTTCAGACTGGCTTCAAACTGCAATCTTTAGATATCAGCCTCCCTGAGTAGCTAGGATTAGAGGCATGAGCCATTGGCTGGGAAGTTTTCTTTAAGATAGCAATATTCCCACAATGATCTACAG